CTCCCCCGCAAGTCTTTTCTTTTTCCCTTTCGTGAAGATCCGGGTTAGAATTGGTCTTCAGTAACCCATAGTTGTCGTAAGATGCGACTGACTAACGGGATCGGGTGGTCAGCAATCAAATCAGGGTTGTAAGAATTAGAATAAGGAAATATCATGCTTTTGACGAACATAGATGCAGTGTCTATCAATATTAATATCAATTTTTATTTCCGTGCTCAGGCGGCATCGGGCTTATAGTACAAATACAGCTAGTGAACAATTAATCAGTAATTTTTTCTGTATGTGGTAGCGTAATAGATATACAAATGTACATAGATATTCTTTCTAAATGGAATTTACTAGAATTGGTTAAAAGGGATATGAATTTTGTAAATGTCAGAATGTACATAGTAGTAGCTCTTAATATACTTATTTCTCAACATATAATAGGCTGGGCATATACAAAGAAAATGGTACTCGTCTTCAATTACATTCAGATTACACATTTTACATATCCTATGTTCTTTTATTAAACCTACATACCTACCAGATTCTATTAGCAAATCAGGAGATGAACAGCGGAATTGGGCAAGGCTTATTCTGAATTTTCTTACGTTTAACACAGACAGATACTGTTCTTTGTGGATAGATTGTGAACAGAAGGAAATAGATGTTTACGTTTTTAGCTTGGGTCAGCGCGCCCGAATACACCCGTCGCTATGCGTATATGCACGTGGGTTTTAAAATTTCGTGCATTTCGTGGTCATAGCTGACGACAGCGCTAATCAGTATTAACATCGGCGATATAGTTAGACATATTGTTGAGGGACAAAGACGTCCATACGCAGCTCCAACCAGGGGTAAAAGTTATTATTTAGAAATAGCTTCCATTATCGGGAAGACATTCATTACATAGAAGCTAAGTTATCATTCACACTTTCGGTGAATGTACAGTGTGGGGGATTTTTCATTGGGTTTACTGTTTTGTTTTAGTTTTGAAGCATTAAATGTTCAAACATAATTATTTGGACTTTTCGTTTATTTATAAATGGGGAATACGAACTGCCTCATTCCCATATGGTAGCAGAGCGTGGTTTCAAGCGGTAAGTCAATTAATCAAGCTGTAAGTCAATTAATCAGTTATGTCTGACATACAGGAAAAAGGCTCTGTATAAAATGGTCAGTTAAAACCCCAAGAACCAAACGGGTCTCAGTCACAACTTGAGGGCATTTTGAAACTGAAACAACAAAAAAACAATGCAAAGTCAGCCTTCACCAAAGCTAAAAACAAGTTGTACAGTCTACTAGAATCACCTAATCAACCATCTCGTACAGACATAAGAGATGGTGTAAATAAAGTAGGTGATGCTGAATGTCTGCCTCTTGGAGCAAGATTTCCCATAATTCTGCCTCGCAAAAGTTGGGTGACAAAGCTCATCATAAAACAGTATCACGAGGATGGTAAACATGTACTGGGAACAAACCAGACATTTCCTGCTGTGTCCGGCACGTACTGGATTATCTCAGGACGAGAAGCTATACGAGAATGGGAGAAGGAATGTGCTAGATGTCATAGGCACAAAGCAAGACCTGCTTGTCCACTGATGGTACCATTACCAAAAATGAGACTCCAAAAGTCACTCCGTGCATTCAGTCAGACTGGAGTGGATTATGCTGGGCCATTGATCACAGTGCAAGGCAGAGGAAAGGCTCGTCAAAAACGTTATTTATGTTTATTCACATGTTTAACTTCTCGAGCCGTTCACCTGGAGATGGCATATAGCTTGGACACAAGTGCATTCCTAAATGCTTTCTACAGAATGGTAAATCGAAGAGGCCTACCACAAGGTCATATCGGACAACGGAACCAACTTTGTTGGTGCCGTTAAAGAACTCGAGGAACTTTTTCGCAATCTGGATCAAGACGCTGTTCAACGTTCCCTGGCTAATCGAGGAGTGAAATGTCACTTCAACCCTCCATACTCGCCACACTTTGGAGGGGTGTTCGAGGTGAGGTGAGGTGAGGTGAAATTGGGTTTAACGTCGTACTTTAGAATATTTCGCTCATATGACGACGTGCATGCGTGTGTATGTGTATGTGTGGCTGCTTGTACTAGCCCAGACTTAAGCTGGTTTTATAGTGCTAGCCCACTGAGATACCATGCCGCAGTGAAGCATGAATACCCCACTCAGACACATTATACTGACTCCGAGCCGACCAGTCCTTGTTGTACCCATTAATGCCGAGCGCCAGGCAGGGACCAACAAGTACCATATTTTAACGTCTTTTGGTATGACGCGGTCGGGGATCGAACCCGCGACCTTCCGCTCTCCGGGCGGACGCTCTAACCACTACACCACGGAGGCGGAGGGTATTCGAGACGATGATAAATCGGCTAAACGTACCATCTTTGCTATCCTGGGGAATGGTGATGTCACAGACGAGGAACTGGAAACTGCATTTACTGGAGCTGAAACCCTGATCAACTCGCGTCCTCTCACCTATCAGTCGACTCATCCCCAAGATGTGATTCCTCTGACACCGAATCACTTCCTGCACGGCCAGATCGGAGGGATATTTGCTCAAGAATCCGTAGACACTACAGATTACCATCCACGAAAGCGCTGGAGACGTATTCAAGATTTGATGAGACACTTTTGGAAGCGCTGGATGAAGGAATGGCTCCCAAGTCTGAACCCAAGACGGAAATCGAGAACTCCAAGCCGAGACCTGTGTGCCAACGAAGTTGTTCTTGTGATTTCTCCGGACACTCCACGAGGACAGTGGCCCCTTGGCAGGATTGTGAAGACATATCCAGGACGAGATGGACATGTTCGCGTGGTGGATGTACGAATCGGACAATCAGTGATTACCAGGCAAGCAAACAAGATCTGTCCACTGGAGTGATCAACTGAGAATTGTGATACAGATTTGTGACTTTGGATACATCGGATACAGCGACTTTGGATACATCGGACACAGCGACTTAGGATACAGCAACTTGGATTCTGTTACTCGGATTCTGTGGATTCTGTAACATCGGATTATGTGATACTGGATTCTGTGAAGACATTGGATTCTGTGGATTGTGTGACATTGAATTCTGTGGAGACATTAGATTCCCTGGATTCTGTGATTTTGGATTATGTGACATCAAGATTGACACTGAACTGTGAACTCTGAGTCTTGAACTTTGACTGTGAACTGTTATATGAACTGTTTGTGACATTATATAACTTGTTATGAACATTGTGGGATATTCGAGGATTAATGGATTATATTGATTTCAGCTTGTAAGTATGGAAAGTATTTAATTTCAGTTTATTGCAGATGCTAGAGGTGTTAGCATTGTATTAGTATTGGTAGAATTGTTTGTATTGTGTTGACAGGAGTCTGTCAAGCAGAGGGGTATGAACAGAAGGAAATAGATGTTTACGTTTTTAGCTAGGGTCAGCGCGCCCGAATACACCCGTCGCTATGCGTATATGCACTAGTGGTGTTCCGATTAATTGAAATAATCGAAGATTGGTCGCAGTGGCCAAACGACCAAGCAATCGATCACATTTTCTCATAATCGAACACAAACGATTTTGGAACCGCTGTAATAGAGTTTGAAATACTTGATGATAAAACATATTTAGGACGTTGTCAGGGCCTGAAAACGTGTTTATTTCTAAGAAAATTCACTTCACTTTCTGAAAAGTCATGACTGAATATTTCTTGAAGAATCTGGGAAGTTTATGTTACACTGGAACTGAATCATTTTACACTGGATGTGAAATTTGCAAATGTAATTTGTGAGTTTAAAAAAACAACAGAGAACCAAATGTTTTTTCTTTATACTTATCTGCAACTACAACCTGAATAGGAAAATCTAAAAAATGACGCGAACCAATTTTTTTCGATGATTGGTCGTTGGTATTGAACCAATCATCAATTGAGAGATTTCAACCAATTCCCAACACTAATATGCACGTGGGTTTTAAAATCTCGTGCATTTCGTGGTCAGTATTAACATCGGCGATATAGTTAGACATATTGTTGAGGGACAAAGACGTCCATACGCAGCTCCAGCCAGGGGTTAACAGTTATTATTTAGAAATAGCTTCCATTATCGGGAAGACATTCATTCATAGAAGCTAAGTTATCATTCACACTTTCGGTGAATGTACAGTGTGAGGATTTTTCATTGGGTTTACTGTTTTGTTTTAGTTTTGGTGCATTAAATGTTCAGACATAATTATTTGGACTTTTCGTTTATTTATAAATGGGGAATACGAACTGCCTCATTCCCAGATTGTTTAATCATTTCATAATAAAACATTTGCTAGAAAGAGAAGTTTTCATTCCAGTTTTGCATGTACATATCTTAAAGTCGTTGTTTAACAGATAGAAGGAATAACGAGTGCGATTGTATATGCTGTTCATGCCATGCATTACCAAATCCAATAGAAAATAATAATTCTTTTACGTTTGTGGCACCATTTCCTTTTCCCATTTCTATCATAAACAATCATCACATTATAACATTTTTTGGTAATCTGCTTGGAACCATACTCAATAATTTTAACCAATATTTAACAACTTTCAAATTTGCTTCAATATACAAGGGAAATATACCACACTCGCCATATCGTCTGATTGTGTCTTAGACTTTGTCCTGCTTCAATAGGAATCGGTTGTGACATTTGATACGGCATTCCTCATACATAGTGTCGTCAGAGTACATATGGGCAGGGTTAACCGAACGTCCTGTGCAAAATGGCATTCAATTTGGGATGCATTGATATAATTTAAGCCAGTTTAAATAATTGTTTGTATTAAATTAAATTTATCATTTATATAGAATTGCCGCTTTCATTCACTTAACTTTAGGCTACTGTGTCAATTCACCCATAATATACCACCTCCTTTCAAACATAATTATCAACGGCCTCACCTTCGAAGTTTCTATAGAGCCACAGTAAGTCTACATTCGTTGGGGCTATCATGTGACCGTGAATCATCACGTGATACAAAATGGCGGTTGAGTACTGATAGTCAAAGCATGACAGATACAGCGGACTGATAATGTTATCGTTGATAGTTATCAAGGTTATCGTCCTCTTCGTGTTATTCCTTTTGACGTTTACGTTAGGATTCATTCCCTTGAAACTGATTCGATATTTTCGTAAACGGTCAACCTCTCGAAATCTGAACAATCAGCTGACAGAAATTGGCAGCTCTCAGGAATCGCGACCAACCTACAAACGTGTCATCAGTTTTCTCAGCTGTTTTGCCGCCGGTGTCTTCCTAGCGACATGTTTCCTGGACCTTCTTCCCGAAGTACGCCGAGAACTGACGAATGTTTTAGATGTCATGAAAATCTACACCGGATTTCCACTGGCCGAGTTTGTTATGGTCATAGGGTTGTTTGCAATCTTGATCACAGAGCAGATTGTCATTTCTGTGAAAGAGAGACATTCATCACGACAAGGTGACAGGGCACCACTCTTAGCAGGAGGTGGTGAGGACTGGCAGAAAAGTGCAACGGAATCCACACGGAGTGAACATTCTATATCAGGAATAAGTGATCGACCTCACATTGAACATAAGAATTCGGAAATACTTCAAGAAAGTGAATCCGAAGAACCTGCATCAGATCAAGATCTCAATTACCAAGGTGGCCACACACACCACAGGCAACAAGAAGAAGAACATGTACATTCTCATATGCGATCATTTTTACTTCTTGTAGCCTTGTCACTCCACTCCATTTTCGAGGGACTCTCTGTTGGTCTGGAAACTCAAAAAGGGAATGTTTTGGGAATTTTTGCAGCCCTTGTTCTCCACAAGAGCATCTTAAGCTTTAGTTTGGGCATGAATCTCGTGCAGACAAATCTCTCTTCAAAACTTATGCTGCGTTCAATTCTGTTCTTCTCGGTGACTGCACCCTTAGGTGTTGGAATTGGCATTGGAATAATACATCTCTGGGACTCAACTGCTTCAAGCCTTGTGCAAGGCATTCTTCAAGGTTTAGCCTGTGGAACATTTCTCTACATTACATTCTTTGAAGTGCTACCACATGAATTTAATTCTCACCATGATCGTTTACTGAAACTTTTATTCCTTCTCCTGGGATACAGCACAGTTACTGGGATTTTGTTTTTAAGCGACAGTACAAGAAAACCGTTTTGTCCAGTTGTTAATCCATCTGTTAATGGCAGCACTTATGGATAAATTCTTTGTGGAAATAGCAAATTTTGTTACCTTAGCTTTTACACATTTATACATGCTTTAGTGAATGTAAACTTATCACCTGTTATGTTACAATTGATATCTGTCAGTGATGTATTGATTTTGAATCCAAAAGTGTACTCTGTATTGTGTACTCAGTATAGCATGGTAGAGTACTTACTGATACATAGAGATTGTTTCTGTTATGATATTTATTGCATTCTCATGTATTGTGTTTCGTCATATGAGCGAAATATTCTCAAGCACGACGTTAAACCCAATTTCACCTCATGTATTGCATTATCCATGAATATGCAGTTAATACATCTGCATAACATGTTTTGTCATTAATATTGTTTATACTTAACAGTGATATGTACTTCAGGTTTCCCAGTATTCGAGGATGTGACTTAGTCATGATTTTTCATATTTTCATAAATATTTCATATTTTCATGATAATTCATATTTTCATCATCTGATATGAACCTTTACTTCAGTTATTCTTGTCATTGGCATTGCAGGGTAAATGTTCCAGTTTTGAATAATACTGCCTTGAAATTTTAATGTGATACATACAGTTTGTGACTGGTTAGGTTCAGGGGTGGAAATAACTTTAAAATTGCCAGTGTACTCCGGTACAGTGGCACATGTAAAATCACTTGCCCTGATATTTTTTCTGCTATACCGGCCAATGTTTTTGGTGATTTTTTATATAAGCAACATAATTAACATTGGAATGTCAACCGGACACGGTACAGCGTGATATGCAAATGTGTTTGCCCGACAGCGAAAAACACTGGACACGGATGTCGGGCAATGGGTTATTTCCACCCTTGATGTTATATGTGCACTTCTGTGTCAGTCTGTGTGGAAAGAGACACATGATTGAACATCTTGTATAATTACTGTACTCAAGTCTGCAGCAAATTTGATCTAAACTTAACTAAATAATTCCATAATTATTTTGCAATGTATTTACTACTATAACTTATAACTACATTTATGGCTTTGTGGAAGTAACCTGTACTCTGTTAAAACAAGAACAGGAGTGCCTGTAGGGGCACTTTGTTAAGAATCTGGGCCCCGTTTCACAAAGCTCTCGTAGGCCTAAGATCTCGTAACTTTTCTCGTAGCATTCGTACCTCCTATACTGTAACATAGGGAGTACGAATGCTACAAGAAAAGTTACGAGATCTTAGGCTTACGAGAGTTTTGAGAAACGGGGCCCTGACCCGTGAAGATCTTGGTTAGGACACTGAAGGTCTGGGTTAGAATTGGTCTTCAGCAACCCATGTTTGTTGTAAGAGGCGACTAACAAGATCGGGTGGTCAGGCTCGCTGACTTAGTTGATACATGTCATTGTATCCCAATTGCGTAGATAGATGCTCATGCTGCTGATCACTAGATTGTCTGGTTCAGATTTGATTATTGACAGGACGGCGTCATATAACTGTAATATTGCTAAGTGCTGCATTATACAAGAAACAATCAACAATTGTTAAGAATCTAATTGTGTAAAAAGGTTTCCCTGTGTTAGCATGCTTTAGGGATGGGGGTGGGGGGGAGTTAAGATGTTTAATGACCTAAATCATGTTTGTTTAGTTTAAGAACGGGTAAGAGGTCTGCATGTTTTCCATCTGACAAATTGAACATTCCAGAGGTTTTATAGTTCAAGTCATTATACAAGAGCTCTGATCATCTACCCAGAAAATAATAGCATAATGAATCTAACAAATGAATTTTTTTTATTATTACACCTCCATAAGTTCTGAATCAGGGATAGAAATGCATTGTTTGAAGGGTGCCAGTGGGCACCAGATAGAAGATTTATGTGTGCTTTTGGTGAAAATGAGTGTACCCATACCTTTTGTTATTCCACTTAAACCATCGCAATAATTACATCATTTGAATTTATTGTTTAATAAATCAGTAAATATGTAAAGGTGTCAACTTGAGAGTTGGATTTTCCTGAACACTATCATGAAAATTCATTTCACAATTTTAGTCGTGAAGCCAGGGCACATTGAAAATATTTCCTTTGTGCTATTTCAATATTTACTGTGCCATGGCGTGCAAATGAAGCACTATTTCAATGCCTGAGATTACCAGCTTTATGAAAATTTGAAAAGTAAAACCTTGAGCTATCGACAATTCTGCAGCTAAGTTTATTTAGTGTGGGGGACCTATAGGAACTAAGCTCGTATGTTAGAGAGAACATTTTAACTGCTCCATTGTTGAAATATGTGTACTCCAGGGTAATGGTAAACTAACAAGTTTGATATTTCTATGCAAATATGTGTCAAAGTGTCCTTATACAAAAGTGTATTATCAATCATTTGCTTTTGTAATGTAATTCTTATGTATACTGACTTGAATGTGTGATCAATGATTAATACGTCTTGAAGCCTTGACATACCTGAGGCAGGATCTGACCTGAGGCATTTAAACAGACAATGAGATCTTTGTCATAATGGACTGTTTGTATTTGTATCCATTGCCACATATTACTTGTTTTTTCATTTGGTATTATTTACTTGGTATATATTTAGTTTAGTTTACAATTACAATTGTACTTCCGTATATATTCATATGCTTATGTTTAGTTTACATTTGAACTGAATTGTACGAGCTGTGGCAAAATTTAAAGGTGCTCTGATCCAGAGTGATTATTGTTTCTCGCCAATAGTTTAATTACGAAGCCAAGCTGCAGGGTGGTCAGTACCTGCTCCCTCGACCGTGATGGACACTGGGACTGGGCTACTGTTTACCTTGGCAGAATTTCTTCAACCTAAACAGTGGGACATTAGGAAGGGTGGATGCCCGTTACTTGAAAATATCCCCAATAGTTCTTGTCAGACTGTAATAAAGAATCCCAGCAGTGTAAACATTTTCAGATTTTCTAATGCCTGGATGGTAAAATGATCCAATTTGATTCTAATTCTGTGTTTTTTACCTTGATATTCAATCATGTCATGTAAAAATATGTTCATTACCTGTGCTATGATATTAAAAACACACATTTGATTTATTTGAATCCGTAAACTAAACAACCCCACTTTGCCATTGCTAGAAAAATCTGAAAATTTAAGTACACAGCAAATGCGTATATGTATTTCTTATTTAAGAAATACAGTTCGCTCTACCACCATGTATAATGTAATAAAACACACTTTCGCCCTGAACTATTATAGTTAAAGTACGAGGACTTTTCTAAGAGGCCAAATTTAATACTTTCTAAGGATAATTACGATTAATTTAAGGCAGAAAACAAACGACGGTGTCGGTGACCTAAATTAAGAATCCTCGCACAGGGCTAACTGGCGCGCTGTTCTATTGATGTGTCTGCCCCCCCTACGTTAAGACAAACGTTGCCAGAAAAAAACAAATGATAACAGTTTGATGTACACGGTTTCCACGTTGGGGATTAAATATCTTCTCTGAATTATTTTAATTACATCTGTCATTAACTTCAAACCAAGAAGCGGGATGCAGCGGAGTAGTTTACTTTTGGAGGCCCGTCGAGGCGATGACAACTGACATGCATCATGATGTAAACGGCTTGCATTGTGACATAATGTAAAATGGTTCGATTACGAGGGGGCACACTAGAATGGTGCAGTGGACGGGATAATGTCATTCAATTGTTACGTCATCAAAACTATACCTTTATTGTCTGATAATGTTTTGTTTTTCGATTGTTCAAACGCTAGGCATCTTAGAAGCAACAATGCAGTTCCGTTCATATCCTCAAAACAGTGTTGGCCCATAAGTGGGTTTTCAGGCAATCAAAATTGCATGCAGTACAGCGATTACTACTCCCTTGCTGTAAACCCGTGTTTGATGGTAAACCTACCGTTATTTGGCATCATTCACTTGGTCAGTTAATGAATTTATTAGTAGTGGTAACACCACTCAGATTACCGACAAAGGTTTCTATTTGGCATTTCTTGTGTCTGGACTAAATGCTGTCCTAACACGTTTTACCACTGGCAGGTGGTTATACTTAAAAATGTTTTCATATGTTATCAAAATAATGAAGATGGAAATTTTATCGAGTAAAACACATTTCCTCTTTGTTGATCAATCTATACTTATACTATCAATTGTGCATGCAGGTGGCGCAGCAGAGGTCACGAACCTGTCAAGAATTCTGGGATATCATCCGGGTACTCACAGCAGAAAAAAAGTAACAAAAGCAACAACCAGTCCACGGAAATTGCTCTGGATCAGTGCCCCTTTAACTAATATCATGATAAAAAAATGGGCCGATGGGATAGCCTAGTGTTTAAAACATTTATTCATTATTCTGAAAGCCCAGACTTAATTTTCCACATAGGCACAAGCCAATTTCTTAAAAGCAACCAAAGACCATATTCACTCACTTACTCACTGTAATTATCATGTCTTCCTTGGAAGTGGTTCTAATATATGTTCATACAGTCAGGCTTTTTTATTATAACCTTGGTCGAAGCATGTCAGATTTAAATCTGAAAGATCTGTTTTCCCATGTGAGAGGGCACTGTAAACACTTGAGAGAATTTGACCTGTATCAGTTGAATTGTAACTATGTAATGTGTATAACATATTGCTTTTTTAAAAATTTGGTGCTATGACTTTTTCTTGGTGAATAATAATGTCGCTATTTGACTGAAAAAATGCTGATGCGACGTAAAATTTTAACTCTGTCACTCTTTCTCTCTCTCCACGTTATATTTTATTGTCTTTGCATCTTCCCTTACAGGTAAATTCCTAGTTTGTAATGGGGATTCCTTTGTTGAGTTTTGGGTTGTGGTATGTGACCACCAGTAACATCTATATTAGTTTGATGTTGTGTGGTCAGAGTGGTATAGACCTGGTATAACCAATGTTGAATTCATGCGAATGTTATCTGGCCTACCTACAATACCACATTTTATTTCCTCAAGTTGCCATTTGTGACCATGGTTACAGGAGTAAAGTTAGTGACTACTGATATGGTTCACTTATTTTTTAATTATGTGGTTAACAACCACTTGTTCTTGGGAGGATTGGGTTTATTTGTCATGTTGAGGAACTGTCGTTCCCTCAAAGAATTTAAAGTTTGAGAAATGGTCTGCGGCAACCCATGCTTGCTGTAAGAGGCGACTAAAGGGATCGGGTTGTCAGACTCAGCTGACTTGTTGGATTAAATTCACTGCACCCCATTTGTGTAGATTAATGCGCATTTGTCAATCACTGGATTATCTGGGCCAACGTCAGATACAACTGCTTACACAACCCCAGAAGAGAGAGAATGAGAAGTATTGCACTGCCTGGAACTACTGCAACACCTCTGTAACACCCAGATAGATGAGTTCTATGGACACTGACTCAAAAACTGAGTAACATCCAGAGAGAGAGATGGGGGTATTGTACTGACTGACACTGTCCAAGTGCATTTGGATCAATCCCAACAGCTGTCCTGATGCAAGATATACATCAGGTTTTGATATAATTGAACTGTGGTATGAAGGGACTTCCTTTAATATAGAAGATGACACATTATTACCAACAGAGGATGTTGAGTTCATTGTAGGTTACTCTTGTAGGTTTGTGACCAAGATGCATATATATCTGCTGACAAGACATTTCATGGCAGTGAATCTTAACAGAGCAGTCATTCGGAATGAATGAAGGTCCCACCAGGGAGGTCATGCAGCACTAACTACACAGGTCCCAACTGGGAGGTCATGCTGCACTGACTACAGAGGTCCCAACTAGGAGGTCATGCTGCACTGACTACACAGGTCCCAACTAGGAGGTCATGCTGCACTGACTACACAGGTCCCAACTGGGAGGTCATGCTGCACTGACTACACAGGTCCCAACTAGGAGGTCATGCTGCACTGACTACACAGGTCCTGACAGGGAGGTCATGCTGCACTGACTACAGGCCCCAGCTGGAAGGTCGTTCCCAACTAGCTGGGAGGTCTTCAACTGACAGGTCCCAACAAGGAGGTCATGCTGCACTGACTACACAGGTCCCAACTGGGGAGGTCATGACTACACAGGTCCCAACTAGGGAGGTCATGCTGCACTGACTACACAGGTCCCAACTAGGAGGTCATGCTGCACTGACTACACAGGTCCCAACTAGGAGGTCATGACAGGTCCCAACTAGGTTATGCCAGGTCCCAACTAGGAGGTCATGCTGCACTGACTACACAGGTCCCAACTGGGAGGTCATGCTGCACTGACTACACAGGTCCCAACTGGGAGGTCATGCTGCACTGACTACACAGGTCCCAACTGGGAGGTCATGCTGCACTGACGACACAGATCCCAACTGGGAGGTCATGCTGCACTGACTACACAGGTCCCAACTAGGAGGTCATGCTGCACTGACTACACAGGTCCCAACAGGGAGGTCATGCTGCACTGACTACACAGGCCCAAACTAGGAGGTCATGCTGCACTGACTACACAGGTCCCAACTAGGGAGGTCATGCTGCACTGACTACACAGGTCCCAACAGGGAGGTCATGCTGCACTGACTACACAGGTCCCAACAGGGAGGTCATGCTGCACTGACTACACAGGTCCCAACTAGGAGGTCATGCCAGGTCCCAACTAGGAGGTCATGCTGCACTGACTACACAGGTCCCAACTAGGAGGTCATGCTGCACTGACTACACAGGTCCCAACTGGGAGGTCATGACAGGTCCCAACTAGGTTATGCCAGGTCCCAACTAGGAGGTCATGTTGCACTGACTACACAGGTCCCAACTGGGAGGTCATGCTGCACTGACTACACAGGTCCCAACTGGGAGGTCATGCTGCACTGACTACACAGGTCCCAACTAGGAGGTCATGCTGCACTGACTACACAGGTCCCAACTGGGAGGTCATGCTGCACTGACTACACAGGTCCCAACTGGGAGGTCATGATGCACTGACTACACAGGTCCCAACTAGGAGGTCATGCTGCACTGACTACACAGGTCCCAACTGGGAGGTCATGCTGCACTGACTACACAGGTCCCAACTGGGAGGTCATGACAGGTCCCAACTACGTTATGCCAGGTCCCAACTAGGAGGTCATGCTGCACTGACTACACAGGCCCAAACTAGGAGGTCATGACCGGTCCCAACTAGGAGGTCATGCTGCACTGACTACACAGGTCCCAACTAGGAGGTCATGCTGCACTGACTACACAGGTCCCAACTGGGAGGTCATGACAGGTCCCAACTAGGTTATGCCAGGTCCCAACTAGGAGGTCATGCTGCACTGACTACACAGGTCCCAACTGGGAGGTCATGCTGCACTGACTGGCACAGGTCCCAACTAGGGAGGTCATGCTGCACTGACTACACAGGTCCCAACTGGGAGGTCATGCTGCACTGACTACACAGGTCCCAACTGGGAGGTCATGCTGCACTGACTACACAGGTCCCAACTAGGAGGTCATGCCAGGTCCCAACTAGGAGGTCATGCTGCACTGACTACACAGGTCCCAACTAGGAGGTCATGCTGCACTGACTACACAGGTCCCAACTGGGAGGTCATGCTGCACTGACTACACAGGTCCCAACTGGGAGGTCATGCTGCACTGACTACACAGGCCCAAACTAGGGAGGTCATGCTGCACTGACTACACAGGTCCCAACTAGGAGGTCATGCTGCACTGACTACACAGGTCCCAACTGGGAGGTCATGCTGCACTGACTACACAGGTCCCAACTGGGAGGTCATGCTGCACTGACTACACAGGTCCCAACTGGGAGGTCATGCTGCACTGACTACACAGGTCCCAACTAGGAGGTCATGCTGCACTGACTACACAGGTCCCAACTGGGAGGTCATGCTGCACTGACTACACAGGTCCCAACTGGGAGGTCATGCTGCACTGACTACACAGGTCCCAACTGGGAGGTCATGCTGCACTGACTACACAGGTCCCAACTAGGAGGTCATGCTGCACTGACTACAGACGTCCCAACTGGGAGGTCATGCTGCACTGACTACACAGGTCCCAACTGGAAGGTCATGCTGCACTGACTACCCAGGTCCCAAATGGGAGGTCATGCTGCACTGACTACACAGGTCCCAACTAGGAGGTCATGCTGCACTGACTACAGACGTCCCAACTAGGAGGCCATGCTCAACTGACTACAGAGGTCCCAACTAAGAGGTCATTCTGAACTGACCATTTGTCAATCACTGGCTTGTCTAGGCCAACTTCTGATACAACTGCTTACACAACCCCAGGGAGGGGTAATGAATGCATTACCTGTAAACTCACTCACTCACTCTAGTCCAGGTCCAGATCCACAAAGCGTTCGTAGCTCTACGGCATTTGTAAGCCTATGGAAAACTATAGAGTTACGACAGGTCGTAACGTTATGAATGCTTTGTGGATCGGGCCCCTGACTTTGATTACTACCAGACTGCCATCATACTGCTTGAACATTCCCAAGATTGGTGTTAAACAAACACACAACATACAACATTCAGTTCACTTTAAACTCACTTTGGGAATCAGTCTTGGCATTGTGCGATGTAGGTGAGGTGAGGTGAAATTGGGTTTAACGTGGAGTGCTTGAGAATATTTAAGCTCATATGGACGATGTGCATGCGTGTGTGTGTATATGTGCGGCTGCTTGTACTAGCCCAGACTGTAGCTGGTTTTATAGTGCTAGCCCACTGAGATACCATGCCGCAGTGAAGCATGAATACCCCACTCAGACACATTATACTGACTCGAGCCGACCAGTCCTTGTTGTACCCATTAATGCGGCCAGGCAGGGACCAACAAGTACCATATTTTAACGTCTTTTTGGTATGGCGCGGTCGGGGATCGAACCAGCGACCTTCGGCTCTCGGGTGGGCGGCTCTAACCACTACACCACGGAGGCGGTCAGCGATGTAGGGGTGTCACATATTTTATGTATGTCTGTCACAGCTGTGCCACTCAGCTGTGTGATGTAACTGTGTCATGTATGTCTCTCTGTCAAATCTGAGTCGCATAGCTGCAGGAGTCACTAAGTGCTTTGTCTCACTTCCACGAAGTAGGACTGTGTCCGTAACAAAGTCATGCTTCATAGACAGGTCAGCTGATGGGATGTCTGCCTGTCAGTGATAGCTGTGAATGGGAGGAAAGGGATCACTTGCATTATTAGTCATTATTAGTCATTATTAGTCATCATTAGTCATCATTAGTCATCATCATTTAGCTTTGTGTGCATGTGTACCCGTGTGTCTTGTTATATCTGAAATCAGTTCTCCCATTTACTTACTAAATTATTTAATAAATAAGTATGTACGTAAATAAATAAATAAAATAAATAAATAAAAGGGTGCAATATGCATATATATATAATTTTCTTTAGTGTAACTGATATAATAAACACAATCTGAGCCCACTTCACAAAGTTATCTTAGCGCTTAGATCATCATAAACGTATACTTTAAGTATGGGAGTTACAATAATCTAAATGCAAAGTTTGTTTTGTGTAAGCAGACCCAGATTACTGACAGAATTGTATCAATACTCACACTAAAAGAGTATTTAAGTCTAGTGGTTATGCTAACATAACATGGAAATGAGTGAGCGAGCGAGGTTAGGTTTACGCCGCACTCAGCAATATTCCAGATGTATGGCGGCGGTCTGTAAACAATCAAGCCTAGACCAGACAATCCAGTGATCAACAGCATGACCATCGATCTGCGCAATTGGGATACGATGACATGTGTCAACCCAGTCAGCGAGCCTGACCACCCCATCCCGTTAGTCGCCTCTTACGACAAGCATAGTCTCCTTTTGTGGCAAGCAATGGTTGCTGAAGACCTATTCTACCCCAGATCTTCACGGTCGACCTGGACTAGACGATCCATTGATTGACGTCACAGACATGCATGCACTAAAGTCTTCAGCAATGTGTGGCTTAAATTTGTAGTGTAATGTTTGATGACTGATGTTGAGAGATTATGACTTTAAGGTAACACTCTTTTATATTAAAGGTTTAGCATGCTGTTTAATGTCACATTCCATATAGTCAAGCGTTATGTAATGATAGTGTGTGGACCGGTGATTGATATTGCGAGCTACTATCCTCGCTGTTGTGGTCAGATGACATACAGACCCGTGAAGATCGGGGTTAGAATTGTCATAATAGGCGACTAACGGGATCAGGTGGTCAGGCTGCCTGACATGGTTGACATGTCATCGTATCCCAGTTGCGTAGCTCGATACTGATGCTGTTAACCACTGGATTGTCCACAGGTCCAGACTCGATTATTTACAGACCGCCGCCTTACAGGTGGAATATTGCTGAGTGCGGCGTAAAACTAAACTCACTCACTCAGATGACATACAATCAACAATATCACAAAACGTGATCACTTGATCCACTAACTGGCCTCCAAAGACAAGCTCAATCATCCTGCACACAAACAAACATGCATGTAAACTATGATGAGATCTAATAAAGCAGCTTCCATAATGGATGGCATTATGTTTCTTGAATATCATCTCCAACCAAAAACGTCCACTTAATAAACACTCTTTTAAAAGCATGTCCAAGCTAGGCCCCACACTGCAAGGGATTTCTTGACTGTGCACAATGTTGCAATTTTTTAAAAGCCAGGCTCTCTAATGAGTGAGTGACATCTTCCCAAATCAAGGGAGTTAATTAAAGTCCAGTTTCCACCCTTATGAAATTGACATGTGTTTCGTAAAATGCCCTGCCCTGCACAATTTGCAAATAGAAGCAACAAAACGCTTTCCACATCCATAAGAAACCTCCATATTAAAGAGTCGATTGTACAATTATGACAAAAACATGCTGGGGCGTTAGGAGATATTTTCCATATCTTTTCAATTTTCTTATCAACGTCAGCTCCAGTAATTCGATGCACTTTGTGAAGTAAGTCCTGTATCATTACAAAACAGATCTTGACTACCACTCAGATCATCTGGACCAGGAGCCTGTCTTGTAGGAAGCAAATACATGGATAATGATTGGAGGAACAAGATTGGCTCGACACAGAAGGGACATAACTCTTAATAGCCACCATTGGTGCTATGAAAGGTATGGGTGGAAACTGGATGTTTGTCAGTTTATTCCCTATCCTACTGAAGAGTGTGTGATCGAACATGATTTTACCCGCTTTTCAGCAATATTCCAGCGATATATTACTGATCATGGTGAAACTAATATTCTGTATTTTGGTGAAACTTATATTCTGTGTTTATATTTTCCTAATATCTGAATCCTAATATATCGCTTGTAGTGGTAATAATTAATACTGAAGGTGTGTATAAATTATTACTCCATGATAATACCATAAGCTCACTTGGACCTATGTTCTGGATCAGGTAAATACTCACTGAAACATAAATTAAACCCACTGCCTCTAGACATTACATGGCCGAAACTAAAACTGTGCAACATTTCTACAGCTCATTGTAGCAACTTCCGATCAGATCTTTCATCAAATTCTATGCAAGCTTTCGTTGTTTGTTTATTGTTTAATGCTGCACTAAGCAATATTCCAGCTATATAGCGGCAGTCTGTAAATAATCTGGACCAGACAATTCAGTGATCAACATCATGAGCATCGCTCTACGCAATTGGGATATGCATTAACTAAGTCAGCAAGCATTACCACTTGATCCTGTTTGTCGCCTCTTACAACATGGGTTACTGGCCAATCTGCACTGCCATTATGCTACAGTGTTAAAAGAACAGAACTCAAACACTCTGAATACTAGAGATGTCACGATACATAAGTTTCATGAATCGATACGTATCACGATACCCATGTCACGATTCGATACGTATCACGATACCTATTTTCGCGGCATTATTGCGTAAACTTAGTTACATTTTGAACATTAATATTTCATATTTTATAATTGTCCATGAAAGATCAACATTTTTTATTATCAGAGCTTAAAAGTTCTATTTTCTCATCTTTGTGCATGAAAAATAATCATTTATAACTCTCATAACATAAAAAAACATGATACAATTGCAAAATGTAAACGATAAATAAACATATTTAAACCAATACTTTCAAAACTAAATATTGATACAGTTTTGAACGTATCGATAATTGTATCGTCTTAGAAAAGTATTGATGTATAGATGTATTGTGGCATACCTACTGAATACATTGAAATACACCCACTGAGTCACAGTGAGTGTCAAATGGTGAAAGGCTCAACTGATCAAAATAATTAAAAGGGATAGTCCTTGTAAATCCCACTGATATCAGTTTGTTATGTGCCCACAGGATGGTGTATTGGACTTTACACAAACATTCAGCTGGTAGAATTCTATACATCCTGCTATGACTGCATACATCTACTGTATATGAAACAGATCATGAGATTGATCAATGTACCAGAAACAACATGCTTTCTCAATTGTTCAGGATCGGACTCATATTTAATGATATAAGCACGATAAAGAGTCTGAAACTCCAAGAGAATATTTTGATCATGGCAATTTTAACCATAATATGGGGAAATAGCACTCACAGACTTCAAGGCCCATGTCTGACAAGCAATGTTTCACATGCACAGGTGTGTCTGCAATTTTCACTCAAATGGCCAGCTATGTCTCTCACAAACATGTTTTTGAATGTTTCACACCCTTTGCTAGCTGTTTCTCACAAGTATATGAGTGTCTGTATGTTTCACACAATTTGCTGGCTTTGTCATTAACAACGCAAATGTGTCTATATATTTCACGAATATTGTTATCAATGTCTCTTATAAACGTGTCTAAATTTTCCTGCAATTTGCCTTGCAATGTCTCACACAATAGGGATCTGTGAATAGTCAAAAAACTTTGCCACATGTGTCTGAATATTTCACACATAGCTAGGAATCTCTCTCACATGTGTGTCTGAATGTTTCACACACCTGTTTAGCTATGTCCCTCACAAATATAGGTGTGTCCGTGTCACAGATGGATCGGAGTCCAGGTTCAACAATATCTGGAGCTGTTTTTGTAAGAAGCAGCAAGCATTCAGTTGCCGATCTCGTCATTTCATCTTTCACACACTGGGGAGTTATAGTTTCGTCAGCCCCAACGTCATACAGAAACTTGAGAAGACATTTCAGCAAGACAATGGCATGAACTGGGATCCTTGGCCAGACAGTCAGCAGCAGAGACTTCAAGATTGACAACCCATTCAACCTGGAGGTCTCTTCAGGCCCATCATAAATTTCAAGGTAGCTGGAAACAAGGTTCACGAGGCTAGCCATGTGGCAGACGGCATTGATGCCCATGACATCAATGAAGGCTGGTATGTGAGCTGTGAGTGAACGTCTCAGGTGGATGTTGTTTTCCATTTCTGAATCGTGAATTATCATCTTGAAGATTTCGTCATGCCTGAAACAAAGCAGACATCTTGATTATTGTAAATATAGAAAACTAAGCTCCTGCCTCTAACCACATACTTGGGAACTGATCACCTTTCAACACCATGGTGCACACCAAAGCCAACTGGCGACATCATGTAACTTTCAAGATATTTAAAAAGTCACAAATGAGTTTTACTGAAATCAGAGCAGTTCATACTTTCAGTGTGGCTTATAGACTGGTTTGCATAATTATAGTACAAAAATATTACCTACTTACAACCTGAGTTAGTGAGTGAGTGAGTTTAGTTTTACGCCGCACTCAGCAATATTCCAGCTATATGGCGGTGGTCTGTAAATAATCGAGTCTGGACCAGACAATCCAGTGATCAACAGCATGAGCATCGATCTACGCAATTAGGATACAATGACATGTGTCAACCCAGTCAGCAAGCCTGACCACCCGATTCTGTTAGTCGCCTCTTACGACAAGCATGGGTTACTGAAGACCAATTCTAACCTGGATCTTCACGGGTACTTACAACCTCAAAGTGGGGAGAGTGAATGTATAACGTACGTATAAGTCTGCAGAATAATGTCATGTTGGTAAAAGTGACAAACTTACTTTATGAGTGACCATCACTGTGACCTTGACCTTTTGTGGAGATTACTCACAACCAAAAGTGTTTCAAGGCTATAATCTAGAGAATGACATGCCAACATGATTTCACAGGGTTATAAAGGAGATGATATGATATTCTAAACAAATCAAAGCATCATGTGGTTTCTTAGATTAATTTGCATATACTATGCACTAGTGGTGTTCCGATTAATTGAAATAATCGAAGATTGGTAGCAGTGACCAAACGACCAAGCAATTAATCACATTTTATCATAGTCGAACATAAACAAACTACTGTTTTAGTGTTTGAAACACTTGACAATGGAACATATCATAGAAGTTGTCAGGGCCTGAAAACATGTTTAATTCTTAGAAAACTCACTTCACTTACTGAAAAGTCATGTCTGAATATTTCTTGAAGACTCCAGGAAGTTTATGTTCATTATATATTAGTCATCACTTTAAAGTAGCAAGTTGCATTATTTTACACTGGATGTGAAGTTTGCAAATGCAATTTGCACAGTTTGGCACAAAACAAAAAGCAACAGAGAACATGTTTACCCATTTTGTTCTGGGGAAGTAGGGGGGGTTCATCAATTTTGTACACATCTGTTGGTGGGGGTCAGCAATTGTGTACATGTAAATATTAATTAATTATGCTTAAAATTTATGGAAAGGGGGTGGTCATTGATTTTGTACATGATATGCAGGGGTTGTCACTTACTTTGTACATAAATGTTGGGGTGGGGTGGGGTGGGGAGAGACATTCACTTTGCACCGGTACATGCTTTCTCCATAAAAATCATTATCACCCCCCTAACCATAAATTATGAACGGTCCCTTATGATTTTTGTCAGCAAGACATCCTTTGTTCCCATGGTTCTCCACATGCAGTTGACTGTCAGTTTATTCCAAAATGTCCACATTATCAAAGATCCTCATGGTTCCATGTCTTGAATTTATGTAAATGATACTTTATTATACAATGAACCTTAAACCCCCTGAAGCAACACAAACTAACGGCTGACTTCAAAATACTGACATTATATATTCCATTTGTGCAATTGTACATTATGTATAGCACTATCTCACACAAAGTGTACCAATTAATTACCTGGAGAGGTATTTACATAAGCAGGTTTTGCATTTTTACTGACCCAGATTTCTTTGGAAATAAAACTATGTCGAAACCAAACTAATGTCTCTCTTCATGTCTCCTTTTAGAGGACACAACAATTTCCTAAACCCATAGAAAACCCTTACTCTAACTGTGTAGTTATATTACAAGGCCTATACAGATATGTATTGTAAGTCCAGCTCATTCGATGGTTGTTCAATATCCAATATGCTATATACTCTTTTGTGCATTGTTAATTTTCATCCATTACCATTGATTATGATGTATAAATGCAAATTTTGACATATATATGCTTAACATGTTTCAGGATGTTTCTGATATGCATCTAGGAACCTGTTTATTGATCCTCTATATGAAAATAGAAAAGCAATAATTTCAACTGGACAAAAGTTCCCTGACCCCTGAAGTACAAGGAAATAGGTCACACCTTCTCATCATTATCGACAAACAGACTGTCATTATTTCCTTGAAAAACTGTGCATACGAAAATAGATTACATGATTTCATAAATTTTCTGTTACATACAGACCTGTTACAAACAGACATAAATTATTTTCATGACCAGGACACAGACAACATTCAACAAAGTAGTACACAAATTTATAGACAGACAGACACAGACAGACTGACAGACTGACCAGACAGACACAGACAGACTTTTTCATTGGGTCAACAACCAAAGTAGTACACAAATTATCAGATGAGACAGGCAGAGACCAGACAGACACAGACAGACTTTTTCAGACAGACTGACAGACAGACAGACAGACAGACTGACAGACAGACTTTTCATTGGGTCAACAACCAAAGTAGTACACAAATTATCAGAGACAGACAGACAGACACAGACAGACACAGACTGACCAGTACACAAATTATGAGACAGACAGACTGACCAGACAGACACAGACAGACTTTTTCATTGGGTCAACAACCAAAGTAGTACACAAATTATGAGACAGACAGACACACACAGACTGACCAGACAGACTGACCAGACAGACACAGACAGACTTTTTCATTGGGTCAACAACCAAAGGAGTACACAAATTATGAGACAGACAGACAGACAGACAAGACAGACACAGACAGATTTTTTCATTGGGTCAACAACCATAGGAGTACATTAATAACAATATGACATACAGGATAAAAGCATCACATGACCCCCTCCAACATTGATAGCATACACTTCTACCGAAGCCAAATTTTTCACGTTTATTCATAACACAATAGAGCTGTTATCACATGACCATGTTCAATACTATCTTTCAATTTAGATTTTGTAATAGTTATATAAACTGACACATTATAGGATAAGTCCTATAGTTAATGGTACACACCTACCATTATCTAGCACACAAACATACAATGCCTCCTTAGATGATGTTAAAGTCAACAGTAATGATCAAAAGCCTTCTTTGTTGTATGTACATTCTGCCGGTATGTATAAACCTTTATACAACCAACACATATTTTATCCATGTGTGTTGTCGCTACTAAGCAAACAGTTGAACATAGCAGTGTCACCCTGTCCAGTCAAAATTAATAATAGTCCGATATAGTGGTGGTCCGATTAATTGAAATAATCGAAGATTGGTCACAATGACTAAACGACCAAGCAATCCATTATGTTTTCTCAAACAATTCACAAACAATTCTGGAACATTTGTTTGCATTAACAATATTTTTCACAAGGTTGGTTTTGTCTGTTACATTTCATAAACATTACAAGCTCGTTCCAAGTCAGGATTGAATTTATCTTAAAGACTCCAGGAAATTTATGTTCCTAACATACTAGTCATCCTTTAAAGATGTGAAATTTGCACATGGATTTTGTGGAATTTGCAAAAAGACTCATAAGAACTACATGTTTTTTCTTTGTTTATTGTGCAGTAACAAACATAACCAGAAAAATTTGATAAATGATGCTGACCAATTATTTTCGATGATTTATCGGTTGTAATGAACCAATCATCAATTATGAGATTTTATCCAATTCCCAACACTAGTCCTATATATGCAGCATATATCTATCGCACATTGTTTTTTCTGTTGTAAGAGGTTTTCACAATTTACGATGATATGTTTTCTACAGTCTGCTCAGAGCATATCCAGTGAAGGTGTGCATCCACCCACCCCCATCACCCCCCCAAATTTCCCTGAGGAGCATCTCCATCTAAACTCTGCACTTCATGATTTATGTGCACCCCTACTTCTCCAAAATCCCAGATCCACCCCTGCCGCTACTGTAGTGTCGTACAGTCCACAGATTACAGGATCTGGTAAGGTTAATGTCGGATATAACATGGATGATGTGTACTATTTGTCTGGAGGATATCACATGTTATTTTTCACAGATGATGCATATGCATAGCATCTCGACCAAGTTGAGTAGACCTGTACTCGACCAACTCGATCTAATTATCACCTAAACTTGATGTTTTTTCAACCTATTCTTGACCTGGTCTCAGAGAACATTTTTGACATGTCAAAAAATTTCAAAAACTTGGTTGACCTCACTCAACCTTACTCAACTTCAGGTCGAGTAGGTCAAGTAGAGAAGGTCGGCACTGGGACCACCCCATGAGTCATATTGTCAATTCAGCCACTAATGAACAACATTAAACAGTGATCTGGGTTTGAATTGGTCTGCAGGAAATCATGCTTGTTGTAAGGGGTGGGATCAGACTCATCGAGTCACTAGATTGTCTGGTTCAGACTTGATTATTTACAGACAGTTGTCATATAGCTGGAATATTGTTGAGTACAACATTTAACAACAAACAATAAGTATCACACTGTACTAATGTGTTAGTTGTCAGACCATTTACACACAAATTACCTGCTCATATCTCTGGAATGTGCTGTGGCTGCTGCTCTCTCCACAACACGGAGGATAAAGAGCAGGGCAGGGTGAAGGACTGTCATCAAGGTGGCATGCTTTGTGTAGAGTTGGTGTTTCAAGGCTTCATACACGACATCAGCCCGACCATACCATCGCAGTTCCTCATGGGATACATTCTGCATGATGTGGTGCAAACACCTCACGCCGACAATCTTGCTCTCGACCGCGAAATCGTCCACCATATTGAGAGGCAAGGGTAGCACCTGTCCCAGGTACTCACTGAGGTAGGGAGACTTGGTGTGAAGCAGCACCCACACAAAGGAAGCAACAGAAACAGGATAGTTCCGCCACCTATCCTTCGTCAGCGCTTGTTGTACTATTGCCAGGTACTGACTGTACAAGGAGTCTGCTGGATTTGGGAGATCATGTTTGCCTCCTGTCAAGCTAACCTGCAGGAAGACAAGAAAACGCAGCCATATAATCACATCAACATTGTCAAGTAAACAGCAGAACAGCCATGGTATTAAGATTATACTGATATACATAGATTAGTCAACTGATCATGATTGACACAGCATGATTGATGTGTAATACACTGACACTGCATGATTGATGTGTAATACTTTTATTGACACCTCATGATTGATGTGTAATACTGTTATTGACACTGCATGATTGATGTGTAATACACTGACACTGCATGATTGATGTGTAATACTGTTATTGACACTGCATGATTGATGTGTAATACTGTTATTGACACTGCATGGTCGATGTATTACTTTGATTGACACCGCATGATTGATGTGTAATACTTTGATTCTGATAGGCATTGATTGACTCTGATTTGCAATACTTAGACTTACTACCGTGAGCATTATACCTGCAGATATTCCCACCTCGCCTGAAGAAACACCCACCTGGAGAAGATCGGAGTACTCGTCAACTCCGTACAGTGATTTCAACTGATTCAGCACCTGTTTGGCCTTGAGGACGGAGCTGTTGCTGGTCCACAGATTTTTCACCACATTCCCTGAGACCAAGTGCAATAGATGTGGACTTATCTTTCTCAGTGTCTTTCCACCTGCCACATCCTCAGGTGGCACGTACTTCAGTAAGCAGTGTAAACTCTCTAAAACATTCTCCGACAGGGAAGCTCTTCCTCGGAAGACGTCCTTGGTATATTCTGAAGGTTCGACGTCAGATATCTCACAAACGGCGGCTCTGTCAATTAACTGATTTAATGTTTCATGTATTAACACAGAGCCGAAGCAAGATACAATATACGTGTTTTCGGCCTTTTCTACTTGCTTGTTGAAATTTGTCAATTCAGGCAGAAACTGCTCTTCGTTCGTTTCATTCAAGACTAATTTTAGTCTCTCGTGTAATGTCTTTCCCGAGAATGGATTTCCGTTCATTGTAATGAGGTCATATGTTGTTGAAATTAACAAAACACACTCCTTGCAGTCAGATCAAAACACTGCACATGCTGTCATCGCTCGCATGCCCGCCTAAACGACGCCTAGTGGCGCAAAGAGTAGTAATAGAGTTACCTCCCCTATTACTATCACCTCATGTTTGAGGGTTTACCAAAGGTTCACTTTATATTCCTTTTCTGCATTATCATTCGTTTTGACTGAGATTTTCTATGCTGTGCTGTGACATTAATGCCAATGACTAAAATCGTAAAACTGTGTGATTACAAGTGACCAGCAATTACAATGAAAAAATTATGTAAATTTAAGTTAGGGACCGTTCATAGATAGTGATGATGGTTTTATGGAAAAGCATGTACAATGTGAATGACACCCTAACATTTATGTACAAAGTAATTGAAACACCCCACCCCACCCCACCCCACCCCACCCGCATGTCATGTACAAAATCAATTACCCCCACCCCTTCCCGTAATTTTCAAGCATACTTTTCAATGTTTTTATGTATAAAATTGCTGAAATTAAACGTAACAGGATTAAGGTCGAGACCAACAAATAACAAGGAAATGTTACATAACTAGTTTAAGCAATCAACACTTATCTATTCAAAGTAATTGCAATGGCAGTTCACAATAAGGCGGAAGTCCAGCATTCAGAGGTAGTTGAATGGCAGTGGCAATCGCTGTATGAATTAATTTTGAAAAGTCACTAGCCAGGAGGGCTAGTTAGGTAAATTGTTGCTAGCCCACATCATACTTCACTGGCCCTGCAAAATATCAATATCAAAATGCACATCGGTCAGAATTGGTGAGTTGGTAACTGAAGATGTTAAACGTTACATTTGTTTTGTAATGGTTCCTCACCTCTTTTGTGCAAGGCTGTTAACATTTTCTATATAGCATCTTCGTGTGACAAGAGATCATAAATATTCAGGAAACTGTTGCGGGTGGATTTTTTAAAACCTTAATAACTGACTTCATCATATTCATGTGCATATTTCTCGTACTTGTGGATCATATCAATCATGTATTCTTGGCTCTCTTCATACCCTATAGGATCATTCTACATGTGAAACGGATGCAAATGCTGCTTGAATATTGCTGCGTTTTGGCGATTGATATTGCTATGTGTAAACAGAAAATGGAAAAAAGTTATTTAGCAAGCAAAACTGTTAACAAAGATAATTTGAGATGTTCCTAAACATTTTTTCACAATATCAAAGACACGTTTTACTTGTTTTCACTAATGCAAATCAGCAGAAAATGTTTTAAAGACTGAAATCAAAGGAATGATTATTTTACACTTTTACACACTCTACAACAGTTGTTTCTTGTTTTAATAGTTGAAAAATGGCGACTTTTAAATGGTTTATCATTGTCCCAAAGCAGAATTTTATTTCAACTTTTCTTTTGGACATCAAATTCACTGTTATTGGTTTATTTCGGCATGGACGAATATAGGACAATTACAATCTTCTGAAAAAGATGCATTTCACCTAAATATGAATGCATTTGAGAATTATTTTTTCGTGATTTGCATAAAGCTGTGTTGTTAAGCTTTTAGGTAAACTAATACCTTCTAACACATCTCTGATAATTGTTTGATCTGCATTCTAGAAGTTGGTGAGTCAACAAAGGAAACATACAACTTTATGGATGACAACTTCTGGTTTATTTGCTTTTGAGCAACGTTTCGATGTAGATTCTTACACCGTTATCAAACGTTTCGATGTAGATTCTTACACCGTTATCAAACGTTTCGATGTAGATTCTTACACCGTTATCAAACGTTTCGATGTAGATTCTTACACCGTTATCAAACGTTTCGATGTAGATTCTTACATCGTTATCAAACGTTTCGATGTAGATTCTTACACCGTTATCAAACGTTTCGATGTAGATTCTTACACCGTTATCAAACGTTTCGATGTAGATTCTTACACCGTTATCAAAAACGATGTAGATTCTTACACCGTTATCAAACGTTTCGATGTAGATTCTTACATCGATTATCAAACGTTTCAAACGTTTCGATGTAGATTCTTACATCGTTATCAAACGTTTCGATGTAGATTCTTACACCGTTATCAAACGTTTCGATGTAGATTCTTACACCGTTATCAAACGTTTCGATGTAGATTCTTACAACGTTATCAAACGTTTCGATGTAGATTCTTACATCGTTATCAAACGTTTCGATGTAGATTCTTACACCGTTATCAAACGTTTCGATGTAGATTCTTACACCGTTATCAAACGTTTCGATGTAGATTCTTACACCGTTATCAAACGTTTCGATGTAGATTCTTACACCGTTATCAAACGTTTCGATGTAGATTCTTACACCGTTATCAAACGTTTCGATGTAGATTCTTACACCGTTATCAAACGTTTCGATGTAGATTCTTACACCGTTATCAAACGTTTCGATGTAGATTCTTACACCGTTATCAAACGTTTCGATGTAGATTCTTACACCGTTATAAAACGTTTCGATGTAGATTCTTACACCGTTATCAAACGTTTCGATGTAGATTCTTACACCGTTATCAAACGTTTCGATGTAGATTCTTACACCGTCATCAAACGTTTCGATGTAGATTCTTACACCGTTATCAAACGTTTCGATGTAGATTCTTACACCGTTATCAAACGTTTCGATGTAGATTCTTACACCGTTATCAAACGTTTCGATGTAGATTCTTACACCGTTATCAAACGTTTCGATGTAGATTCTTACACCGTTATCAAACGTTTCGATGTAGATTCTTACACCGTTATCAAACGTTTCGATGTAGATTCTTACATCGTTATCAAACCTTTAGCTTGATAACGGTGTAAGAATCTACATCGAATCGTCGCTCAAAAGCAAATAAACCAGAAGTTGTCATCCATAAAGTTGTATGTTTCCTTCGTTGATGTCTTTGATAGTTTTTCAGTAATTCATAAAGGTAGGAGGTAACGTTTCTTTTGGCGTTTAGTGTATATTACAGGCCTGATTCACAACCAGCTATATCATTTGGCTAGCCGGCCAGTGGCAATATACAGTTTGACGGTATCTATTTGGTGTCAGTGAATATTTTGTCATTGCAATGGTTACATTTCAAAAGTGTGGCCTAATAATAATAGCATATCCTGAAAGAATTGATGCAAATAACTTGTGGTGATTATTTTCATTATGATTATTTTTCATTATGCAAATTGCAAGTCCACATATCATACAAACCACACATCGGCTAACACCAAGGTACATATATATACAGCGATAGATAATACACAGTTGGGGACACACATCCTGTTTCTCTGTCACAAGTGTCAGTACATGTACACTGTAAAAGGAAGTATTTCAGATCAATGTTCAGCATGAGAAGCAATATCGGTTTTGTTTATGTGGTTTAATGTGTAACTCGTTACTCTTTGTATGCATGTGTGTGTGTGTGTGTGATAGTTGTATCTTGTCAAAAAAACTGCATCTTTTCTTATGTCTCAAAAGAGGGCAAGGATTTCCCAGGCTCCTTGTCCCCACCTGTAACAAAAATATTAAATACAAAATAAAATGTGTAACTTGTAGTTTCACACTTTACTATTCATACACGGATGTTGATGTGTCGGAGTAGACAGGTCGAGGAACAAGACTACCTCTCCCCGCCTGAGTTGTGTATGGGGATTCCCGCGAAGCTCTGTTTTCCAAGAAGCCGACAAAGCACTTGCGCAGAGAGTTCATGGAATGCGCGCGGGACCTGCCCATTGCCCTAAGCACATAAGTTATACTGCGTTGGTATACTGCGGTAGTACCAGTTTCAGGTGGAGAAATATCTGCAGTTCGTGCAAGGTAAGTGTACTAATCTTGTCTCGGTTTTAAAAGCGGAGTTTGTTCGACATTCTGGCACTGTTTAAAAAAATAACTCAATAAGTAGAATATGGGTTTGTTTGTCAGTTTGTTTTGTATTTTGGCATTACATTAATCATTATTTCAGTTTATAATCCCTTAAGTGAATATGAAACATTGGTAATATATATAATTAAAGCTGACCTTGCCAACATTCGTTTTGGGGACTATTTGCCGGAACTGCATTTGTAGGATAGCTCCTTTAACCCAAGGGAGATAGAAAAGACCCACGTTCAGGAAACTGTTCTCTTCGGCCCTTAGGGCATCATTTGTTATGTGTTTCACGTAGCCACCAAATTCCGAACATGGGTCAGTCGGTCGGGAATTTTTTTAAGAAAGACAAAATTATCTAAATAGTGTTCTTGATAGTTGTTCCCATGCACGCTTGGGTGGAGCTGCTTGCCCTCCAGTCGTCACTTGAAATAGGATCACGAAATATCTACTTATTACATAACGGTATGTGTTCTAACACTAAGTGAAAACAAGGTATTCCGTGTATATTACCCACTGAAATGACAGAAATCGTAAATGTTTATTGCGTTAGCGATAAGTACAACATTTGTTTATCTGCTATGCAACCTGGTTAATGGTTTGCCGTCAGGTGATTGCGAGCGGGTCTGTTCATGACTCGAATTCATGGATTCATTAGAGGACTTATGTCCGGGTTGTGTTGTTTATAGTGTTAGACAACTGAGATGCCGAACCGCAGTTTAATACGGATACCCACTCAGACCACAGGCCCTCGTGTCTTTGCGATGATTAAAAAAATATTGTTTATGAGATGACCCCGACTCGAAATGCTTCACAGTACAATTAAATACATCATGACCTTGTCGGGCATTTCGATTCGGGGGCCATCTCAAATTTTAAAATATTTTACAAAAATCTTTAATCCTCGCAAAAAGACACGAGGGCCTGTGACTCAGACGCAGCATAATAACTCCGACCTGACTAGTCCTTGTTTTATCCTCCCGAGGACCAGGCAGGGTAGCAACAAATACCATCTTTTAACGTCTTTTACTGTGTCGCGACCAGGGATCGATTCACCGCCTAAAATGGATCCACTACATCACAGATGATGCCTCATAGCGTTGGGTGATAGAACTAATGACAACGCTTTAAGATTAACTCAAACATCCTGCCCCCACCCCCGACCACACCCTGAATCCTGAATCCCATTCGCTGAATCTCGCATACCTTTTAACTCAAACCTCAGAAGCTGGTGGGGGGTATGGTAGACTGGTATTTAAACCGTTCGTTCTTTGCGCCAAATACCCGGTTTCAGTACCAAGTATAGTATGTTAAGCCCATTTCTGGTAGCCTTCTATTCCGGTATGTCGTGAAATTGCTGGAATGTTGCTACAAGCGGCGTAAAACCATCCTCACTCACGCACTCACCCCTGAGTCACTCCGGTGAGGAAAGAGTGCGATTACTGCATAATATCGAAAAGATAAAGTATTTCAACGTGTCTCTACAAGCCATATTTTTCATAATGTTGAAACCGTGTATGAAATTCAATGATATCAGCGCACGGCACACCACGCTACAGCTCGGTTACACCAAACAAAATGTTTTCCTATAGACTTCTAAAGTTACATTATATTTAACCAGATCGTTAACAGCCATTACATGTACAATGTACATATATGCACAGTATGACCTTAAAGCTGCAATAAATAAAAAAGTGGCTACGGTATCCAATATTCCTTTCACTTCCTTACACATCAACCCCAGTTCCGCACCAGATGTCACCTACTTGAAAATATCTCTGCACACATTCAGCATAAGTCATCGTGCTAAAAAAAAGCGCTAATGATTGAAAAATGTGCGCAGTTTTAATTACTGGATGGATGTACATATATAAAATACCAAAATCTTACACAAAGTCATCCAATTACAGCTGTTTCCACTGAAGGCTAAACTACGGACTCTGATTTGGTGTACTATAAACCTGCAGAGTCCGGAATGTCCTCTGGCCGAAAAGGCCCAATTGAGTCCACCCCAAACCCCAGAGGATGTGTGTATGAAATATCATGCATCCGTGGAGTCAAACACATAGGAGGCTCAGAGAAATGACGCCCAATTGCCAGCAGAATAAATGAACGCAAAATCTCTGATGAAAACTCGGACATGAAATGTGCCATTTCGGAACACCTCATCAAAAAATCCCGTCCACCATATTTCCTGGCAACAAACCAAGATTATCCATACAGACACAATCAACTGGAAAAAGAGGAAACTTTATGAAAGCATCGATTGAAATCCAAAGAATGAAGAAGAATAGAGAAGCCAGCCATTAACTGAAACTTCGGACAAACTCTCACCTTGCGTTGTGTAAACATGTTCTATTAATTTACGCTCAATTTACACTCTGTGACTCATCATTCATCTGATGAAGGAGCAAGAATTATCTATCGTCATATAAAGAGTAAAAAGCGTGTCATGCATTCACCTCCGAATGAAGCCTAAATGCCGTGTACGAAAAGGGCGTTGGCTGTCTCACCGCGGTCCCAGGTCAGTCTGACATCGGATGTTGTAAACACGCGCTAATGTGCGACAGTGTGTTTGTGCACCTTCGTGTGCATGTGTCCTATTACCTCGCATGTCATTACACTATACTCAGCCAATGAAAGGATAGATGTGGTATGTATTTGCTTTTCTGCAAGTGCTGTGATATTAAATAGACACAGATTCATGATTATAATCTCAAGTGACGTCATACCATTGTCACTTGGAACTTTTACAGTTTTTAAAAACATCTAGTGACTTGATCTTATTGTTCTCAGCACAGGGGCTAGTCACACAAAAGATAGCATCAAGGCATACACTGTCATTATCGGGATCCGTTTACATTGTATAACGCTATGACGAAAGTATCGTGACAGTATTTACCTTGATGCCTTTTCTTGCTTGATGCGGGCGGTGGGGTAGCCTATAATGGTTTAAGCGTTCCCTCGCCAAACTGAAAACCCGGGTTTGATTCAACGCATGAGTACAATGTGTCAAGCCTATTTCAAGTGTCCCCGACGTGATTTTGCTGGAATATTGCTAAACGCGGCATAAAACCATACTCACTCACTCACTCACTTGCAAGCCGTTGCGTTTCTTAGAGGGCGTTCTACAGGATATCACCGTGGCCCAGGTTGATTTTATATCAAATTTCTCCTTCTCAGAGATTTATTTTGCATTTGTAACACACATGACAAATGTAAGTCAAGTCAGGTAGAATGTGTGAAGTACATGCATTCCAGCAAGGTACACGTAACGTCCGTGTCTTGAGTTTCGTGTGTGGAAATATATTATTGCTGATTTTCCACTTGTTATATTTCAGGCTTATAGGGGCAAAGGGGCAAAGTTCATTGTGTACAGTAGTACATGTATACGGAAACCCGCACAATAATGACCCAACACGAATTTCCCTATAAGTTTCAACTTCACATGTAATAAGGAAATCCGTGCTGTCAGCATTTTGTGGGTTTCCATTTTACCAGTACCTCTGGTAATTTATTAAAAACTCTTGCTATCAATATAGTAATCTGTCATACTTGAAATAACGTTTCTAAACATATTCCATCAGTTGTTTATCCTTGGTCTTACAACCACGATCATAAGCGGGGAGCGGTGCGACCTATACATCAATTGACAATCTGTTATTATACCATGACTTCAGTAAACACTGGATTGTGATTGGTTAAATAAAGTCATTCAGAGGTATATAATCACGTTATACAGGTCTCTGTTTTCCGTGCGCAATCATACATGGTTTACGGTAATGCACTATTTTTTGTCTGCCCACCAACATGGCGGACACCAAACAACCTACCGATGCATCGATAAATTACGGCGATTTTACTGTCGGAAATTACACATATGTCTTTAAAGATGGATTTAGCGATGACGGGCTCGACTCACTACTTGCGTAAATCACAGCAATACGTGTTTATACATACAAAAGTACTTCGAAAGGATGGAAACAAATATTCAGTCGAACAAGAACAAAACATCGCTACGCGTTCGGTTTTAAATGAAATTTAGAGCTATTATAATTTCGTTATATACCTCTGATTTTCCCACACAGTAGGTTTATCTCCTAATTATATACCCATTACAACTTCCGTGATTCCAGGCAAACCCCGTTATACGATGGTCCCTGGTAAACCCCGTGATACGATGATCCCCGGCAATCCCGCTATATAATGACCCACTTTCAAACAACCATGCTTGGCCTTCACCAACCCATGCTTGTCGTAAGAGGCGACTAACGGGACCCTGTGGTCAGGCTCGCTGACTTGGTTGACACATGTCATCGTATCCCAATTGCGTAGATCGATGCTCATGCTGTCAATCACTGGATTGTGTGGTCTAGACTCAATTACTTCCTCCATATAGCCGGAATATTGCTGAGTGTGGCGTTAAACAACCAGCCAAACCAACCACTTGGGCCACCATCCTTTTCTTATTCTGTCAAAAAGGTTTAATGTTTTACATTCAACGCGAAATTATCCGATTATCCGGTCAGACACACCAATAATTAATTACATTTTGCTTGTAATGATAAAAATCCACCCTGTAATGAATTACAGATGATACACTCATCAAGTTGCAATGGTAGTCGTCTTTCAGTCGTCGGAATTCGATGTGCAGAGTTTCTTCCCTTGCGCACGCCAGGAACCTATGATTCTGGGTTCGATTCAGTTTTCGTAACGGATATTTTCTAGGTTTGTCAACAGCGTACCCGAGCTCGTGGTTGCACAGTTCATTTTCACCCGTTTTCACGAGAGTTTCAATGGTCAGTTAATATATTTTCAGGACAAAAGAGGAATGGGCACCCCTGCACCCCTGCACACTCCCACCCCGACCCATCAGGATCCGCCTATGGAATATCTTCACTTACAGTATTATGTATTACAGTGACTCTGTTTCTGTGATATAACTGTAAATGTATACTCCTCACAAAAAAATAAGCAACAAGTATTTTCAGTGTAATACCTTTATCAATCTCGAAAGCGATTTTCCGGCATGTTACTGAAAGGTAAATATTCAAAGAATACATAACCTTTAGTGACTGTCAAATTGATTTAGCTGATAACATTGACAGCTTCACCCGAACACAACCACCCTCAGAAACAACATGCAAAATGTGTGGCATGAATGTGCTCCACTCTTCACACATGCACCCTGATCGGTGTAAACCTACCTGTAATCATTCCTCTGGTACAACAAGCGGGTCCTAACTTCAATTTCTAGGGATGATAATGCCCGTCCGTGGATGGTAATGCCCGAGAAAGAGTTGTTAACGATGTTGTTTAGATCAACAACATCACACATATGGACTGACCTGCAAGGTCACTTGATCTTAATCCCACTCAACATGCTTGGGACATCATTGGAAGTCGTGTTTACGGTCTCCATGTTCGCCCCAGACTCTGGATGACCTTGAGCAGACGTTACAGAGAGAATGGCTGAACATTCCACAACAGCAAACTTAAAGGCTCATTTGGTCGATGCAAATACGTGTAGAAGCTTGCATTTGTGCTCATGGTGGTCATACGCGTTACTGAACACTGCTTCGCTGTCCAAAACTGACTTGAACCTTAATGTTAACATTTTGCCCCATCAATGCAGCACATTTTGCACGACTGTTTCACGGGTACATGCTTTTGATGATTTGTAAGTCTATTATTGTTTGATACTATTTCATTTCACTTTGGTAATCGTGTGTACATATATTTCACATTTCAGTTGCATCATTCCATGATTTGCAATTTCAATAAATGAAAATGTAATGAGACTACAATTTGTGTTGCTTAACTTTTTGTGAGGAGTATGTGTGCATATGCATGTTGTGAGGGTGGTGGGGACACCCAGTGGATAGCAATAGAGCGGTAGCTCGTGAACGTCGACGTCACCAAGTGTGAAACCCCATGTTTTGTGTCTCTCGACGGATATATCCCAAAACTTCCACATCCCAATACCACCACACCTTGCTAAAACAACAATTCCTCATCTCCCTTTTGCAGACCGCGCCATTGCTGGAATGTTGCCAAAAGCGAATAAAATTATACTCACTCGCAAGTTGTTTGTTCTAGTTCATTCTACCAAATTAAAATATCGTTGTTTGAATTCAATTTAAGCTAATGGTATAAGGATACGCGTTTAATGATATGCGGGTATCAGGCACATTTGACAGCATCCAGGACTCTCATTGTTTGGCGAGAGATCCAGAGCGAAGACCAATACAGAGTGATGTGTCGCCATAGCTGATCCGTACATACAGTCCAGAAGCGGCGATATAACACTGCAGAGGTGTGTTGGAATTAAAAAATATATACATCCCCCCAATCATGACAATAAATCATTCAAACACAACTGGAGAAAATCCGCCATTTTCCAGGCTTGCTCAACAGTCACACTTCAAGTTTGATATTTGATGTAATCTATAACACTAATGGGGGAGAGTTTATATTGGTATCACCGGTATTTCTCACTTCATTCGGGACATCCGGACATCCATTCAGCTCAACCAGAGTCTACACCTGCCCTGTCCCGACAATCCTGATGTTCACAGTTCACCCAGAAGTACAACCAGAGTCTACACCTGCCCTGTCCCGACAATCCTGATGTTCACAGTTCAACCAGAAGTACAACCAGAGTCTACACCTGCCCTGTCCCGACACTCTTGATGTTCACAGTTCAACCAGAAGTACAACCAGAGTCTACACCTGCCCTGTCCCGACAATCCTGATGTGCACAGTTCACCCAGAAGTACAACCAGAGTCTACACCTGCCCTGTCCCGACAATCCTGATGTTCACAGTTCACCCAGAAGTACAACCAGAGTCTACACCTGCCCTGTCCCGACAATCCTGATGTTCACAGTTCACCCAGAAGTACAACCAGAGTCTACACCTGACCTGTCCCGACAATCCTGATGTGCACAGTTCAACCAGAAGTACAACCAGAGTCTACACCTGCCCTGTCTCGACAATCCTGATGTTCACAGTTCAACCAGAAGTACAACCAGAGTCTACACATGCCCTGTCCCGACAATCCTGATGTTCACAGTTCAACCAGAAGTACAACCAGAGTCTACACCTGCCCTGTCCCGACACTCCTGATGTTCACAGTTCACCCAGAAGTACAACCAGAGTCTACACCTGCCCTGTCCCGACAATCCTGATGTTCACAGTTCACCCAGAAGTACAATCAGAGTCTACACCTGCCCTGTCCCGACAATCCTGATGTTCACAGTTCAACCAGAAGTACAACCAGAGTCTACACCTGCCCTGTCCCGACACCTCCTGATGTACACACAGGTACAACCAGTCTAAGCACCTGCCTTTCGACAATCCTGATGTGCACAGTTCACCCAGAAGTACAACCAGAGTCTACACCTGCCCTGTCCCGACAATCCTGATGTTCAACCAGAGTCAGAGTCTACACCTGCCCTGTCCCGACACTCCTGATGTTCACAGTTCAACCAGAAGTACAACCAGAGTCTACACCTGCTCCCTGTCCCGACACTCCTGATGTTCACAGTTCAACCAGAAGTACAACCAGAGTCTACACCTGCCCTGTCCCGACACTCCTGATGTTCACAGTTCAACCAGAAGTACAACCAGAGTCTACACCTGCCCTGTCCCGACACTCCTGATGTTCACAGTTCAACCAGAAGTACAACCAGAGTCTACACCTGCCCTGTCCCGACACTCCTGATGTGCACAGTTCAACCAGAAGTACAACCAGAGTCTACACCTGCCCTGTCCCGACAATCCTGATGTTCACAGTTCACCCAGAAGTACAATCAGAGTCTACACCTGCCCTGTCCCGACACTCCTGATGTTCACAGTTCACCCAGAAGTACAACCAGAGTCTACACCTGCCCTGTCCCGACACTCCTGATGTGCACAGTTCACCCAGAAGTACAACCAGAGTCTACACCTGCCCTGTCCCGACACTCCTGATGTTCACAGTTCTAGCAGAAGTACAATCAGAGTCTACACCTGACCCGTTCAGATATTCCTGTTCTATAGACAGTTCAAGCAGATTCTACGACTGCCCTTCACAGAATCTATATGTGCCCTGTACGCGATGCCACTACAGCATACAAAGAAAGGTTATACCTGCCCCTCTCAACAACCTAACGTGCACCTATGATCTGGACAAAGGCAAGGTTGTTGTTTTCACCACAGTGTTTTGGGTCTTTTCGAGATATGGAACAAGTGCACAATAGAAAGCAGGGAGACCCTTTTGCCAATTGCAGTGTACATGTACATACGAGCAACAGAGTGTGTGGCGACCGTTGGGGGGGAGCTCTAAACTAACGCTTAGTCCCTGAATGTATATAATTTTGATTGTAACAAATAAACACATTTAAATCGAAAAGGAGCCCCAGGGAGACCCGAGATAACCTGGAGAAATCTAGACTTGCTTCATTTAGGGCTTTAGCATTACAGGGAGGGCTGTAGGGAAATATGGTGCAGGGAGTGTGAGACAGACTAGAGCTCGTGTCTGTTTGTTTTCATAATCAGACTTTCCTGCTGTGTTTTATGAGCATTAAGGCTGCATATGTATTTTCCTCGTGACTATGTTGCTGCACGAACCGATAACATAAACGTTATAACAACAACAGATTTGATAAGTTTCAAAGGATATAAAGTATACACCGGACAGATATGATTCACTTCCTTCCCTGACACTAGACTTGAACTAATGATCCAGGAAGAGATATGGTGGGTTTATGTTGTTTGTGCGTTCTCGGTCTTGTAGAGAGACGATGTATTTGAAATAGAGAAGCAGAGTGACGCTAGTTTAGTTGACTATACACTATGCTCAACTAGTCTGTTGGAATCAACTCACTCACTCACTAATTGTAAATCGGATGCATGTAAGTAAAATTCCTATATATGCAAGGTTAAATGAAATCTGCATTGCTGTCGTCTTCACTGAACACTAATGCGTTTGCTCAGGTTTTGTCTTTGAATGTTGATTAAGCAGTGGAAGTTTTGTCCATACGCAAAATCGCTATTCGAAATGGTTTACCAGCATCCATAAATCATGGATAAAGCGGTGCTGGAAAGAAGATATGAAGTATACAAAGTTTAATGTATCTAATGAATTTAGAGTTAATTGTGCAAAAGATATTCTTTCTAAATATTGTACAATAAAGTAACAATAACAATTGTTTATGCAGAATGAAGACAACAGAAAGCGAAGAAAGTTATGTTCGTGAACTGTAAACGTTAGTGTTATGTGTACAGCTTTCTGGGGAGGACACCTGCATGTACAAATAATAGCAGTTGCAATTGTGCTCCATGCAAGATTAGTCCAAACTGGTTATTGGTTATTTTACGATAATTAAAAAAATTATTGACATGCGTGTGGTATCATGAGTAGGTAGACTTTGTTATTGATAATCATTCTTACTTGTGTGATTTTTTGTATTGGTGGTAATGTCAACGACATGCTTAATAGTATCAAGTGATCCACACATATATTCGACAGGTACAGCTGCAGGACCAGGTAATACTGATCCCGAGATGATGCTGTGTTACCGTATTGTTCCAGTTCCAGTTTTGTCAGTTATGGATAGTACCATCTTGTTGACATTAATCCTCCGTCTGTATAGGCTTGGTATGTTATTGCACGAGTCCATTGTGTGCACTATAAGGTTTCCACACGTACATGCCGATTTGTTGTTCTGAGAGTGCAAACAACCACTTCCTCTAAATCCCCAAATCTGCGTTTCCTCATTGTTAATCCTTGAATACCTAAATCCTCTTAACACAAATCTCAGAATCTCAGCTGTGTGATTAGAAATTACTGAAAAAGTAGAAACAATTATGTACATATACGTATATAACATTTTCTTTTGATTTTTCTCCAAATGATGAATTTTCGCACCAAAAATGATGTACCCCGATGTTCCCTAGATTCTGAATACATATAAGATAGATCTTGGGACAGTGGGGTAGCCTAGTGGTTAAAGCGTTGATTATAGGAAAAATAGTCCTCGGTAAAAAAGTACCGGAAAGAAGTCCTCCGGAAAAAAAGTCCTATTATTGTGAAAACAAATTAAATGGATGTTGACATCAAAGTTATTGTAGAGAAAACATAAAGTGATTGTGTATAAAAGACATGGATTAACTTACTGAATTAACCAAGAACAATGATATTTTAACTGGGCAGATCTAATCCAGGATTTAGCTTGAGTTGTGTTTGTCAAAATGAGATTTTAGCTGCTTGAATCAGAGAATAATTAGTGTTAACTACAACATCAATCCCAGAGTTTCTCCATGGTGTGGCCACCAATATTAGACTGCATAAAACTCAGTAAATGTCAGGAAAGTCTTGCAAATTGTCAATTGTCAATTTGCAGTGCCTTGTGAATAAAATATTACCAAATTAAAAAGTCCTGCAAATGTATCAGTGCAGATGCAATTATTTATCAATTTACATTGTTGTTTGTGAAAGTGCAAATGTATCAGTGCAGATGCATTTTTTTAATCAATTTACATTGTTGTTTGTGAAAGTGCTTATGTGAATAAAATATTAAAAAATTAAAAAGTTCTGCAAATGTATATTTGTCAATTTACATTGTTGAATGTGAATAAAGTATTAGAAACACGAATATCAATATTTTTCTTAACATCTGTTATAAAAAAAAATAGGACTTTTTTCCGGAGGACTTTTTTTCCTAGGCAAATTTAGTTCTTTTTTACCAGTACTTTTTTTCCGAGGACTTTTTTTCCGAACACCAAAGCGTTGGCTCCTCACGCCGAAGATCCGGGTTCAATTCCCCACATGGGTTCCGTGTGTGAAGCCCATTTCTGGTGTCCCCTGCGCCGTGATATTGCTGAAATACCGCCGAAAGCGGCGTAAAAGCTTAATGCCTAAATCTTCACTTAAATAGAGATATAAAACCCAAGTACCACCATGGTACTTCTATCTCTCTCTCTCTCTCTCTCTCTGTGTGTGTGTGTGTGTGTGTGTGTGTGCGTGTGAGATTGGTTTTTTTGTTTTTATGGGTTTTTGTTGTTGGTTTTTGTTTGTTTTTAAAAATTTGGGGGTGGGGGTTTTTGTTGTTGGCATTTTGTTCTGGGGAGGTATACGGGGGTCATATGTTTTTATTTTTTACATGTGTTAGGGTGCGTCAGCAATTCTGTACATATTAATATTTAAAATTTATGCTTAAAAATGCGGGAAGGGTGAGGAGGGGTAATTGATTTTGTACATGACATGCAGGGGGGGGGGGGGAATTCACATTGTACATGTTTCTGCATAAAAATCATCATCACACACACACACACACGCCACCCCCCATCCCCAAACATGCACGCGCCCACACCCACACCCCTTGCCGTAAATTTATGAACGGTTCCTTATGACTGAACTGCGTTTAACCAGGTTCAACGTTTATAAAGTACGTTTGTGTTTTGTTCCAGTCTATTATGATGACCTGAGATGATGTGTGTTTTTGCAGCTCAAGAGACACGATGGCCTGCTGCGTTGACTGCCCGAGACGTTACTTTGTGGTCTTCCTGGGGTTTATTGGACTTCTTGTTTCCATTGGTTTCCGAACATGTTTCGCTCTCGTCATGGTTCATGTGACCAATCACACATCCACAGAACGTGACGACGATTCCCTGTTTCACAATGTGAGTATTCGCTCTGTCGACTAAACCTACGGGTATCATTTACAGTTGACCAGCGCTTTGGAGGGAGGGCTTGAATACTAGAGTGTATTGAAGTTAATAAATACAGTAGCATATACATTGTACAACACGTACCATTTGTAGGGTCTGTTTACAGGTGTAAGTGTTTCATCTGTACGTCTAATACTGTGTGACGCATTGCAGTAAGGAACGTATGGATTGGGTCCAGTCATGTACTGAGGTGGTTGGCTAGAAGGAAAGAAATATTCACCTCTCCTAGGAATATGTCATATTCTTGAAGGACTTCTGCTTGTCCTAGTCCTCTCTGTACTGACAGGTTTCAAATAGAATTTTTATAAAATATACTTATATTTATGTATCACTTCTTTTGTATGTGACAGTGCACAACCTCTCGAGACCTGCAGCTCAACATAGAACCAAGTCATGTATTCCTGTTGCACACTGCCTTCTACTGTGGTAGTCTCGTCACTCAGATACCAGGCGGTATTCTGGCTACTAGATACTCCCCAAAGTGGTATGTGATATCCATTAACAGTGGTAGTCTCGTCACTCAGATACCAGGCGGTATTCTGGCTACTAGATACTCCCCAAAGTGGTATGTGATATCCATTAACAGTGATAGTATCGTCACTCAGATACCAGGCGGTATTATGGCTACTAGATACTCCCCAAAGTGGTAGGTGATATCCATTAACAGTGGTAGTAACAGTGGTTGTCGTCACTCAGATACCAGGCGGTATTCTGGCTACTAGATACTCCCCAAAGTGGTATGTGATATCCATTAACAGTGGTAGTCTCGTCACTCAGATACCAGGCGGTATTCTGGCTACTAGATACTCCCCAAAGTGGTATGTGATATCCATTAACAGTGGTAGTCTCGTCACTCAGATACCAGGCGGTATTCTGGCTACAAGATACTCCCCAAAGTGGTATGTGATATCCATTAACAGTGGTAGTCTCGTCACTCAGATACCAGGCGGTATTCTGGCTACAAGATACTCCCCAAAGTGGTATGTGATATCCATTAACAGCGGGTAGATATCGTCACTCAAATACCAGGCGGTATTCTGGCTACTAGATACTCCCAAAGTGGTATGTGATATCCATTAACAGCGGTAATATCGTCACTCCAATACCAGACGGTATTCTGGCTACTAGATACTCCCAAAAGTGGTATGTGATATCCATTAACAGCGGTAATATCGTCACTCATTCTGGCTACTAGAATACCAGACGGTATTCTGGCTACTAGATACTCCCCAAAGTGGTATGTGATATCCATTAACAGCGGTAGTCTAGTCACTCAGATACCAGGCGGTATTCTGGCTACTAGATACTCCCCAAAGTGGTATGTGATATCCATTAACAGTGATAGTCTCGTCACTCAGATACCAGGCGGTATTCTGGCTACTAGATACTCCCCAAAGTGGTATGTGATATCCATTAACAGCGGTAATATCGTCACTCAAATACCAGACGGTATTCTGGCTACTAGATACTCCCCAAAGTGGTATGTGATATCCATTAACAGCGGTAATATCGTCACTCCAATACCAGACGGTATTCTGGCTACTAGATACTCCCCAAAGTGGTATGTGATATCCATTAACAGTGGTAGTCTCGTCACTCAGATACCAGGCGGTATTCTGGCTACTAGATACTCCCCAAAGTGGTAGGTGATATCCATTAACGGTGGTAATCTCGTCACTCAGATACCAGGCGGTATTCTGGCTACTAGACACTCCCCAAAGTGGTATGTGATATCCATTAACAGTGGTAGTCTCGTCACTCCAGATACCAGGCGGTATTTTGACTACTAGATACTCCCCAAGATACCAGGCGGTATTTTGACTACTAGTGGTATAGTGATAGATGATATCCATAAACAGAGGTGGTCTAGATACTCCCCAAGATACCAGGCGGTCACCCAGATATTTTGACTACTAGATACTCTCCAGGCGGTATTTTGACTACTAGATACTCTCCTAAGTGATAGATGATATCCATTAACAGCGGTGGTCTAGTCACCCAGATACCAGGCGGTATTCTGGCTACTAGATACTCCCCAAAGTGATAGATGATATCCATAAACAGCGGTGGTCTAGTCACCCAGATACCTGGCGGTATTTTGACTACTAGATATTCCTCTGAGTGGGAGGGGCTATCCACTAACGGTAGTGTGTGTTTTAAGTCAAGTCTGTATGTCTGTATAAAGTAGAAATCTGCACTATCCACTGTATCCATCTTCTCTGCCAGCCTCCTGGATCGATGATGGCAGAGGGAAATTCATTCATCTTCATAGACTCGTACTGTGAAAAGATTTAGGAAAGAGCATACATTTTTCTACAATGTCTGCAGTTAAAACTATTAAGATAAACTGCTCGTGAAGATCCGGGTTAACACTGGTCTTCAGCAACCCATGGCCATGCTCCTCGTAAGAGGCTAGTAACGGGATCGGGTGGTCAGGCACCCGACTTGGTTGACCCGACTTGGTTGACCCAACTTGGTTGACACATGTCATCGTATCCCAATTGCGTAGATCGATGTTCAGGCTGTTGATCACTGGATCGTCTGGTTCAGACTCGATTATTTACAGACCGCCGACATATTGCTGGAATATTGCTGAGTGGCGTTGAACAACAAACAAGAAAAATTAATATAAACATTTTGAATGGAGAGTAGTTTTAAATTGCATATCCCTTTCACCGTGTAATTATGCGTTGTCTACCTCCCTAAGGGTGTGCGGACTGAGTATTGTGTTGAGCAGTGTGTTGTTCCTGGTGCTTCCCACGGCCATACAGTACAACCTCCCAGCCGTGTATGTCATCCGGGTCCTCCAGGGCCTAGTCGAGGTAGGTTGTCGTCACTCAACATAGTGAAATGGATTGAGCCATACAATTCGTTAAAGTAACGCGCACAAAAAAAACCCGTTTCTGTACTTGTCTATTTTGACGTCCTCCACTTTTCCCTGGAAGACATAAAATAAGTGACTTGTTACAAATGGGTTTAAGTTTTGCTAAGGGAGGTAACTCTGTCATTAGTCCCACATCTACCTTGCGCAGTGTGGTAGTTCTTTCCAAAGTGCTTATCCTTAGCACTAGATGTCAAGCACCAAGCAAGTATTAGTTAAAGGGAACCTACTTCAGTGTGTCAGTAATCGAGAAAATTGTTTGTTTTGTGATCACCATAATCAATTACTTGTTTCTACCATTGACCATTGTTGTTGGGATGGACGGAAATTCAAAGTAGGCCTTGACATAGAAGCCTGTGTTATGAAACAATAGAATACATTTTATGTTGTATGTGGAACCGATTTTATCTTCATGGAATTTAAGATTGGGACTGTAGGTGCTTTCCTGTACTGATATATCTTGATAATTATAGCAGTTTCAAGATGTTACTGTCTTTCAGGGTTGTTCGATACCTGCTCTGAATGGCATCATTTCCGCCTGGGCTCCCAAAACGGAGAGGAGCCGGATGATAACCGTAGCATACGCTGGTATGTGTTCTAATCCAGTGAACCGCCTCCGTGGTGTAGTGGTTAGAGCGTCCGCCCGGAGAGCGGAAGGTCGCGGTTCGATCCCCGACCGCGTCATACCAAAAGACGTTAAAATATGGTACTTGTTGGTCCCTGCCTGGCGCTCGGCATTAATGGGTACAACAAGGACTGATCGGCTCGGAGTCAGTATAATGTGTCTGAGTGGGATTTTCATGCTTCACAGCGGCATGGTATCTCAGTGGGCTAGCACTATAAAACCAGCTTCAGTCTGGGCTAGTACAAGCAGCCGCACATACACATACACACGCATGCACGTCGTCATATGAGCGAAATATTCTCAAGCACGACGATAAACCCAATTTCACCTCACCTCACCTCTAATCCAGTGATAATAAGCTTCGTTTCCGTGGTGCATCCATGGTACGTCCCTGAACATGTCCAGGGCGTCATGGAAAATGATGCTTTTACGCTTCTTTGGAATAGGCCATATACAGCTTCATAAGAATTCCAGCCAACAAACCTGATCTTGTCCTTTATGATAATGCTAATGAATTTATCTATATCTTTGAATGTTCTATCCCTTTTGCCAGTAATGTGATTGGCAAGATTCAGGAAAAGCATGCTGAATATGCGGACCTCGCGTTTGAAATGTCTCGCTTGCATCTCAAGTACACTGTCGTCAGACTCCCCATTGTTCTCGGTGCCCTTGGTTTGGTACCTCCTGATCTCTTGGCGCAGATCAGGAGAGTGCCCCGGGTTTTCCACCGGGAGCACAGCCCTTCTGACGCTCTGGGTAATGCAGACGGCTGCAGTGTTGGGGAGTCTGCATATTCTCCGAAACGTTCTTAGTGGGTTCGACTAGGCAGCGTTTCCTGGGAGAAGTCCCATTCGCTGTCTGGGCTGCGTGTAGAGGGGGCAAGGGCCCTGATCTGATGATGAGCCTTACCAGCCTGACTGTGCCAGAATCAGCCGAACCCTCTCTTTTCATCTTAATCTGTAAAATATATAACAATATTACACACAAACTAGGGGAATCAGTGATGTGCACTGTTTTCATGAGTCCGGGTCCTCTCTGGACGTGCATAGACGTGTCTGAAGGCGTCTTACCTAACGTCATGCGAACATCAACGAAAGGCAACTTGATATATTTGGTTGGTCTTGATATGGCGTGGTGGTCTGTGGTCCTGTATAGAGAGTCCAGGTCTCAAATCAGTTGAAGTTGAGCAACATTGGTCGGGGAGGGTTCTTGGATAAGTGACTGTGTCTGGCAGCTTGAGTCCTCGGGGGTTCTAGGTCTTCAGTCCTGTTCCACAACAAAGAACACCTGACACATGTGGCCTCAACCTAAGCAAGTGCCCCTGTTCGCCCAGCAGTGAATGGGTACGAGTGCGCGGAAACAGCAGCTTTATAAATAGCCATTGTATTATTATCATCCTGCAAAAACGCAACACCATATTGTTCATCGGAGGGTCACATGATAGCCTTACCTAGACAATATTCGTGATATGGCTGAAATACAGATACTGCGACCCCGTGCACATGGTACTGGCGCCAAAGTTGTGGAAAAAGTGTGTAACAGCTTATTTAAGTCTGTAATATTATATCTTTTCAGTTATATGAGAATAGAGTGTAGGCGTATGTTTACATCCTTGTATCTTCTGTATATTCACACATTGTAAAATATATTGAATACAACACCGTAATTTGATACACTGTAATAATGGGTTTTAGAAAATTTGATGTAAATAATGGGCATTGCACATGAAAGGTTGACTTGATGAGCTTACGATATGCAGTTAGCTGAACATTTTTTAATGCAGGTGCATACATCAGCCCCGCCATTGCCCTCATGACATCGGGCGCCTGTTCCTGCTACGTCAGCTGGAACAGCATCATCTACATCTACGGTAGGTGGCCATTCCATCTGTGACATTTGTGGGTCTATATTTGAAATACGAGAAAATTGTCTGCACTTTTTTCCATCATATCATATGCATTTTAAAATATTGTCCTGGCTCTGCAGGTGGATGTGGCGTGGCGTGGTCAATAGTCTGGATGCTGTGTATCCATGACAACCCCAAGCATCATCCTAGGCTTGGGGCGAGGGAGAGGCAACTGTTCTGCACTGACGACGTCGTCATCAACAGACCTGACCAGGAGGTATGACATCAGCCCGTGTTCTGAATCAACAAGACAAATATTTGTACATCCAAGATCCACATCCACGTCCACGTCCACATTCACACCCACATCACATCACATCCACATCAAGCAAGACCAACATCCACTTCCACATCCACATCCACATCACATCACATCCACATCAAGCAAGACCAACACCCACATCCACATCCGCATTTACATCCACACCAACATCACATCACATCACATCTCATCACATCACATCACATCACATCACATCAACATCAACATCAAGCAAGACCAACATCCACATTCACATTCACATTCACATTCACATGCACACCCACATCACATCACATCCACATCCACATCAAGCTAGACCAGCACCCACATCCACATCCACATCCACAATCTTCCTCTTAGGGTATCGGTTATCTCAACAACTGTTCACTGACCGCCCTTATTTCAGGATATGGTAACAGACTTTTGCTAAACACAAAGTTACATCTTCACCTTTACGTTGCGGTACCTATTATAAGGTATACGCTAAAGAGATAAAAGGGGTGGTGTTTCTTTCATTCAACTCGCCCTTTGCAGGAGAAGATTATTCCTTGGAGAGCAATTCTGACGTCACTTCCGGTGTACGCCATCATCGTCGGTGCCTTCTGCCGGAACTGGATTTTCTCAATGTTGATTACCCAGCAACCCCAGTATTTTAAAGAGGTGTTCCATATGACCACAGCTGACGTAAGTATGGCCACCACTGAAACAAGTGTAATTAATTACGTGAATGTAATCAACTTCCCTGGTATCTCAGTTGTAAGGTATTATCAGGTACCACACCACGAAACGTGGGACATTTAAACACCTTACTGACCACTTGTCAAAAAATCAAGCATAGCTAGAACCTCTGAGTAAACCAATATATCGTCTAGTGTAATTTGATGTCACAGGGGCGGTGGGGTAGCCTATAGTGGTTAAAGCGGTCGCTCGTCACGCCTAAGGCACGGGTTCGATTCACCACATGGGCACAAAGTGTGAAGCCCACTTCTGGTGTCCCCCGCTGTGATATTGCCGGAATATTGCGGCGTATAACCAAACTCACTCACTCACTAACTTAATATCACCGAACGTTACTGGTACCGAGTGTCACTGACAGTGAGTGAGTTAGTGAGTGAATGAGTAAGGTTTTACGCCGCTTTTAGCAATATTTCCGCAACAGCTACCCCACCGCCCCGTGTCACTGTCAACTTCCCCCAACTACAGTGCTGTGTATCTTCTAACTAACGTGCTTGTTGTGATGTGTATATTTGTTGCAGATCGGGTTTCTGTCGGCTGTACCCCACGTTTTGATGACAGTTGTGGTGATAACTGGCGGCTTTGTCGTCGACAACTTCATCAAACGAGACATATTTTCCACAACGGTAGCCAGGAAGCTGTCGGAAACACTTGGTGGGTCACTAATGTATCACCACCAACCATATCTAAACTTAAAGTCATGTGGTAATTACCTGTGTCCCCAGTGCGGCGATATCAAGTGTCCTGTTGCTGGGTACATGTGGTAATTACCTGTGTCCCCAGTGCGGCCATATCAAGTGTCCTGTTGCTGGTACATGTGGTAATTACCTGTGTCCCCAGTGCAGCCATATCAAGTGTCCTGTTGCTGGATACATGTGGTAATTACCTGTGTCCCCAGTGCAGCCATATCAAGTGTCCTGTTGCTGGGTACATGTGGTAATTACCTGTGTTCCCAGTGCAGCCATATCAAGTGTCCTGTTACTGGGTACATGTGGTAATAACCTGTGTCCCCAGTGGAGCCATATCACGATCCGACTACTGGGTACATGTGGTAATTACCTGTGTCCACAGTGCAGCCATATCAAGTGTCCTGTTGCTGGGTACATGTGGTAATTACCTGTGTCCCCAGTGCAGCCATATCAAGTGTCCTGTTGCTGGATACATGTGGTAATTACCTGTGTCCCCAGTGCAGCCATATCAAGTGTCCTGTTGCTGGATACATGTGGTAATTACCTGTGTCCCCAGTGCAGCCATATCAAGTGTCCTGTTGCTGGGTACATGTGGTAATTACCTGTGTCCCCAGTGCAGCCATATCAAGTGTCCTGTTGCTGGGTACATGTGGTAATAACCTGTGTCCCCAGTGGAGCCATATCACGATCCGACTACTGGGTACATGTTGTAATTACCTGTGTCCACAGTGCAGCCATATCAAGTGTCCTGTTGCTGGGTACATGTGGTAATTACCTGTGTCCCCTGTGTCCCCAGTGCAGCCATATCAAGTGTCCTGTTGCTGGGTACATGTGGTAATTACCTGTGTCCCCAGTGCAGCCATATCAAGTGTCCTGTTGCTGGGTACATGTGATAATAACCTGTGTCCCCAGTGCAGCCATATCAAGTGTCCTGTTGCTGGGTACATGTGGTAATTACCTGTGTCCCCAGTGCAGCCATATCAAGTGTCCTGTTGCTGGGTACATGTGGTAATAACCTGTGTCCCCAGTGCAGCCATATCAAGTGTCCTGTTGCTGGGTACATGTGATAATAATGTGGTAATACCTGTGTCCTCAGTGCGGCCATATCAAGTGTCCTGTTGCTGGGTACATGTGGTAATTACCTGTGTCCTCAGTGCAGCCATATCAAGTGTCCTGTTGCTGGGTACATGTGGTAATAACCTGTGTCCCCAGTGCAGCCATATCAAGTGTCCTGTTGCTGGGTACATGTGATAATAACCTGTGTCCCCAGTGCAGCCATATCAAGTGTCCTGTTGCTGGGTACATGTGGTAATAACCTGTGTCCCCAGTGCAGCCATATCAAGTGTCCTGTTGCTGGGTACATGTGGTAATTAGCCCTATGTGTCCTGTTGCCAGTGCAGTCCCATATCAAGTGTCCTGTTGCTGGGTACATGTGGTAATTACCTGTGTCCCCAGTGCAGCCATATCAAGTGTCCTGTTGCTGGGTACATGTGGTAATGCTGGGTACCTGTGTCCCCAGTGCAGCCATCAATCTGGGTACATGTGGTCCTGTGTCCTGTTGCTGGGTACATGTGGTAATAACCTGTGTCCCCAGTGCAGCCATATCAAGTGTCCTGTTGCTGGGGTACATGTGGTAATTACCTGTGTCCCCAGTGCAGCCATATCAAGTGTCCTGTTGCTGGGTACATGTGGTAATTACCCTGTGTCCCCAGTGCAGCCCCAGTGCTGTTGCTTGTCCCCAGTGTCAAGTGTCTGTTGCTGGGTACATGTGGTATCAACCTGTGTCCCCAGTGCAGCCATATGTCCCCAGTGGGTACACCTGTGTCCCCAGTGCAGCCATATCAAGTGTCCTGTTGCTGGGTACATGTGGTAATTACCTGTGTCCCCAGTGCAGCCATATCAAGTGTCCTGTGTTGCTGGGTACATGTGGTAATAACCTGTGTCCCCAGTGCAGCCATATCAAGTGTCCTGTTGCTGGGTACATGTGGTAATAACCTGTGTCCCCAGTGCAGCCATATCAAGTGTCCTGTTGCTGGGTACATGTGGTAATAACCTGTGTCCCCAGTGCGGCCATATCAAGTGTCCTGTTGCTGGGTACATGTGGTAATAACCTGTGTCCCATATCAACCGCGTACATGTGTCCTGGTCATTGCTGGGTACATGTGGTAATAACCTGTGTCCCCAGTGCAGCCATATCAAGTGTCCTGTTGCTGGGTACATGTGGTAATTACCTGTGTCCTCAGTGCGGCCATATCAAGTGTCCTGTTGCTGGGTACATGTGGTAATAACCTGTGTCCCCAGTGCAGCCATATCAAGTGTGTTCCTGTTGCTGGGTACATGTGGTAATAACCTGTGTCCCCAGTGCAGCCATATCATGTCCTGTTGCTGGGTCCTGTTGCTGGGTACATGTGGTAATAACCTGTGTCCCCAGTGCAGCCATATCAAGTGTCCTGTACTGTAATTACCTGGGTACATGTGGTAATTACCTGTGTCCCCAGTGCGAGCCATATCAAGTGTCCTGTACATGTGCTGGGTACATGTGGTAATAACCTGTGTCCCCAGTGCAGCCATGCGGTCATATCAAGTGTCCTGTTGCTGGGTACATGTACCTGTGTCCCCAAGCCATAAGTGTCCATATCACGATCCGACTACTGGGTTACTGGGTACATGTTGTAATTACCTGTGTCCCCAGTGCTGTGGCCATATCAAGTGTCCTGTTGCTGGGTACATGTGTAATTACCTGTGTCCCCAGTGCGGCCATATCAAGTGTCCTGTTGCTGGGTACATGTGGTAATCAACCTGTGTCCCCAGTGGAACCATATCAAGTCCCCGCCATATCCTGCTACTGGGTACATGTTGTAATTACCTGTGTCCACAGTGCGGTCATCCAAGTGTCCTGTTGCTGGGTATATCCTGTGTGGTGTCCCAGTGCAGCCATATCAAGTGTCCTGTTGCTGGGTACATGTGGTAACCTGTGTCCCCAGTGCAGCCATATCAAGTGTCCGACTACTGGGTACATGTGGTAATTACCTGTGTCCCCAGTGCAGCCATATCACGATCCGACTACTGGGTACATGTTGTAATTACCTGTGTCCTCAGTGCGGTCATATCAAGTGTCCTGTTGCTGGGTACATGTGGTAATTACCTGTGTCCCCAGTGGAGCCATATCAAGTGTCCTGCTACTGGGTACATGTGGTAATTACCTGTGTCCACAGTGCAGCCATATCAAGTGTCCTGTTACTGGGTACATGTGGTAATTACCTGTGTCCCCAGTGCGGCCATATATCGAGTCCAGTTGCTGGATACATGTGGTAACTACCCGTGTCCCCAGTGCCCGCTAGCCAGTGGCTAGTCCTAGTACTAGTAAAAATCCAGTCGGGTCAGTAAGTTCCCACAGTTACTTGCCCGACTGGCTGGTTAATTTTCATGGCGTCATTTTGTAAATATATCACTGTCTCCGACTTGTTAAGTTATAATACACTTTTAAATCATGCAAGGTTATGGCCTGATAAAAAAATCATCACATTAGCGGCTTACTGATGGAACCCGTGTCTACATTCAAATTTCGGGCTAGTGAATTATTTTGTGGGCTAATAACTTTCAGACAGCTAACCCGACTGGGTAGCAAAATTTGGAAACTGTTTTGCACACTGTGTATGGGGCCACTCTGTTGGGTTAAGGGGTGGTGATAAAGAGAAATGGTGGTGCGTTCATAAGATGCCTGTCTTTGAAAAGTTTGTTAACGCATATAATTCCTATCCCAAGTGAAAGTTCAGGTTCCCCTACTGTTTTGAAGAATAGATATGAATGGTTGCAGGATGTAACGTGGTAAATAAACTTTTGTTCATTATGATCATATGAAGGAAACTGTTCTAGGGTTCGGTGTGGAAGCAGCGTGCGTCATGGTTATCGCGTTCGTGGACGACAAGCACAAGGCTTTGGTTCTGCTCTGTGTGGGGGTTGCCTTCAGTGGCATTGCTATCTCAGGTAAAACTTTAATGTAACCCAGTATATGTCAGGTGAAGCCGTATTACGTTTTGAGATAGTTTGTTCCTTACATGTGAAATAATTTGGCGTTTTACTTCACGCCATGTCCACTTATCAAGCCTTGTATGAGTGTTCGAAGAATGGACCACAATGGAAACGTTGTTTTGATATTTCATGTCTCTTGTAAGTTTAGACTATACCAGGAAACGTCTGATATTAACCCCCAGGCCCGTTCCTCTGTGCGACCGTAGCGCTACGACAGTCGTAAGTCTATGTTAACGTACAGGGCCTAGATTTACGAAGCTCTCTTAGCGCTAAGATAGTCGTAAGTGCCATACATTAACATTAACTTACGACTTTCTTAGCGCTAAGAGAGCTTCGAAAATCTAGGCCCAGGAGTTTCAATCATCTTAGCGCTACGATCGCTTTGTGGAACGGGCCCCAGAACGTTATTTCTCGCTATTTGTATTCGTATATGCTTCCTACCCGTAGGTTATCAGGTGAATCCTCTTGACCTCGCCCCCAAGTATGCCAGCGTTGTGACAGGTCTGGCAAGACTGGGCATGCTGGGTGCCGTCCTCAGCACCGTGGTGGCCTACTTCGTGAGGGACATAGTCGTGAGTAATATTGATGACACAGCTTTCATTCCCTATTATTCTCACCTCCCGTGAAGATCCGGGTTAGAATCTTCTAGTCTTCAGCCACCCATGCTTGTCGTAAGAGGCGACTAACGGGATCGGGTGGTCATGCTAGCTGACTTGGTTGACACATGTCATCGTATCCCAGTGCTCTTGATCTTGATCACTGGATTATCTGGCCCTGACTCGATTAGTTACAGACAGGTCCCCATTATCCCTCTCTGTCCACCGGTATATGTAGGTCCCCATTATCCCTCTCTGTCCACCGGTATATGTAGGTCCCCATTATCTCTGTCTGTTTTCCGGCATATGTAGGCCCCCAATTTCTTCTCTGTCCTCTGGTATGTGTAGGTCCCATTATCCCCCTCTGTCCTCCGGTATATGTAGGTCCCCATTATCCCCCTCTGTCCTCCGGTATAGGTATGTTCCCATTATCCCTCTCTGTCCTCCGGTATATGTAGGTCCCCATTATCCCCCTCTGTCCTCCGGTATATGTAGTTCCCCATTATCCCTCTCTGTCCTCCAGTATATGTAGGTCCCCATTATCCCTCCCTGTCCTCCAGTATATGTAGGTCCCCATTATCCCTCTCTGTCCTCCAGTATATGTAGGTCCCCATTATCCCTCTCTGTCCTCCAGTATATGTAGGTCCCCATTATCCCTCCCTGTCCTCCGGTATATGCAGGTCCCGATTATCCCTCCGTGTCCTCCAGTATATGTAGGTCCCGATTATCCCTCCGTGTCCTCCGGTATATGTAGGTCCCGATTATCCCCCTTTATCCTCCCTGCGGTATACACATGTCCCCATTAACGCTCTCTGCCCTCCAGTATATGTAGGTCCCCATTAACGCTCTCTGCCCTCCGGTATATGTAGGTCCCCATTAACGCTCTCTGCCCTCCGGTATATGTAGGTCCCCATTAACGCTCTCTGCCCTCCAGGTATATGTAGGTCCCCATTAACGCTCTCTGCCCTCCAGTATATGTAGGTCCCCATTAACGCTCTCTGCCCTCCAGTATATGTAGGTCCCCATTAACGCTCTCTGCCCTCCGGTATATGTAGGTCCCCATTAACGCTCTCTGCCCTCCGGTATATGTAGGTCCCCATTAACGCTCTCTGCCCTCCAGTATATGTAGGTCCCCATTAACGCTCTCTGCCCTCCAGTATATGTAGGTCCCCATTAACCCTCTCTGTCCTCCGGTATATGTAGGTCCCCATTATCCATGTCCGTCCTCCGGTGTACGAAAGCTACCCTTGTTCCATTGACGCAGTGCAGGCCGCTAGAACCCATGTTTCCCCCGATTCAGGATGTGTCCCACTACCTGTGTTTCCCTGTATGTTCTCTAATGGTTCCCTGCACCTTATAATTTTGGGTACATCAGGCAACCTCTGTATATATCAAAGATTGTGCTGGGGACTGTGCTGTAGAAATATCCCACATGCCAGGCTTGAAGTTATAGTTCTAACATTCATGCTTTTGTTAAATCAACAAAAATAGGTGTCAAGTGTAGTGTAGTTTGATGTCACCGAGGGGCGGTGGGGTAGCCGAGTGGTTAAAGCGTTCGCTCGTCACGGAGAAGACCCGGGTTCAATTCCCACATGATTACAATGTGTGAAGCCCATTTCTGGTGCCGCAGTGATATTGCTGATATATCGCTATAGCGGCGTATAACTGACCTATTAACCCACCATGTAGTAGTATGAACTGGTTTCAACCTATCTCTGTCCCTAGACTGACCCCGCCGAAGTGCCCGAAGCATGGAAACGACTCTTCATCATCGCCGCCTCCATCCACTTCTTTGGCGTCCTCTTCTACGCAGTCTTCGCATCCGGAAATCGACAACCTTGGTCAGGATCACCGTCAACGCTGTCAGTCTCCATTACTCAACCAGTCGCAAATGACGACAAGGATTATGACGAGACCACGAGACTGTTACGGCGGCGATTACGACTTCATCGACCTCAGCTTGTTGACGCCGACAGCTATGAATATGGTTCGACAACAAGATTTCTCAATACTATTTGATAAACACACTGTGTCATTACCTTATCAGAAAGTAGCTGAAATGTTACTGCGTAATTGTGAAATGCCTTAAAATCTGACTTGTTTGGTGACAGTTTTAAGTACCGTTGTAATATTTGTAGGTTATTACAGGACAGTGGCTAAACTGTGAGTTTGGATTGAGTTTATTTTGAATGCATTGCTGATCACACACACCAGGGCCTTGATTTTCTAAGCTCTCTTAGTGCTAAGATAGTCGTAAGTTAATGTTAAAGTATGGCACTTACGACTCTCTTAGCGCTAAGAGAGCTTCGAAAATCTAGGCCCAGTCAGATAAATCATGTATCGAGCGCGGATAGTGAGCTTTAAAAACTTTGGCTTGTTGGGCCATTAGGTGGTCAGTTTTGTTTTTTTTATATAAGGTGAGTGAGTGAGTTTAGTTTTACGCCGCACTCAGCAGTATTCCAGCTATATGGCCGTGGTCTGTAAATAATCAAGTCCAGTCATTAACAGCATGAGCATCGATCTACGCAACTTGGATACGATGACATGTGTGAACCAAGTCAGCGAACCTGACAATCCGATGCCGTTAGTCGACTCTTACGACAGATCAATTCTAACCCGGATCTTCATGGATATTCTGTATAAGGAACCACATTGGTTTGTGAGTATATCCCCAATGTCATTGAGTTGTGTACATATGATTTGTGAATAAACACAAAAGACATATGAACATGTTCTTTGTCTTGCTGGGTCCATATGTCATCTGTTGACCATTATGTCACATGGGGTGGGGTTGGGGGACCACCATCCCTATGTTGTAACAGTGAGGGAATCGAACCCAGGCATTCGGCATGACGACTGTCCGCTTTATCCACTGGGATACCCCACCTAGCTTTTCCAGCTCGAACGGAGTCAAAAGTTGCTGGATCAGGTTAACAATATTTAAGGCCGCGTCAATTCTATTTACTAGTATATGGTTCTATTAACTATACTAGACTTATCAAGACGCTTGGTTGACAAACATCGTGATCTTCTTGTGTCATATATTCCGTGTTTAATTAGGTGAACAATTGACTTGTCTTTGCATGTGTTTGTGACGGGTGTCACAGGTGGGACATGATCCACCTCCCATTTCACGAATACCTTGCTAAATAACTATTTAATAGTGATTAAAAACACACTACTGACTGCATCTTGTTGTATAGAAGAAGTATCCGTTTTGGCCAATGTATAGCGATGTCCTTCGTTGCTTCAGATTTCACATACAGAAACGTTGTCTACATTGCAACCGGTGGGGCAGGATACGCTCACCTTTTCGCGAACACCTGGTATCATCACTATGTCATAGTAGTTCATAAACACATGCTCTGTCATCGTATCGCATGGTGACAATCACTGGATCATCTGGTGCAGACCCGATTCGTTTACAAACAACATCATACAGCTGTAATACTGCTGAAACAAATATCTGCTCATGATATAGTCACAAATGTACAATCGACTCTGCTTTTTGCAGAGATTTCTTATGGATGTGGAAAGGGTTTTGGCGAGTCTATCTACACTGCAATCGGAGGATAATATTTTGACAATATGTGTAACGCTCGATTGATGTTTCATCCATACTGTCCCGGGTGTAGGGCTGGCTAGCAACATAGATGATAGGCATCGATAATCGTTAACTAAATATCTATCGATGATAGATAAATATCGGAGACGTATCTTTGAGCAAAAATGCCAAAAAAATGTCTGGCAGAAATGAATATATTTCACATCACTGGTGAGCGGTGACATGTTGTTCATGGATTATTAACACACAGCGTCCTGAACGTAATTTAAAAGCAGGCCATGAATAAAGTCCTAAATTTGTATATTGTGTGAGAAAATGAAACTTCGTTTCGATCACAAAAGTTAATGTACGATATTGTCGATAGCACAATTTTCACATCGATAATCATTAATAATTTTTCCTATTGACGATATTTCTGAATTTTGATCATTTTAGCCAGGCCTACCCGAGTGTAAACCACTTGTAGCGGATACAGGGAAATAAACTGAGGGGCAAAAGAAACGCTGGCTTCTAATTTTCTCATCTAATAAAAACATATGACAAGGTATGTCAACAGATATCATTGTATTTCACAGACACAACAATTAACATCAGGTTGACCGACTTTAACAACCAGATGATGACATTGTAAGGAATAGTGAGCATTCTTGTAACATGTGTTGGATTGTCCATAATTCGTTCACATTCCATTTCATGTTACCATTACACAAATCAGTTAAAAGTCACATTCCATCATCAATAGCGAGTATGTCTACCTATAGCAAGTATGCAGTCCCTGATACGATGTCGTACAGACGTTAACAGTCCCCTCACAATGGCTGGAGTGATATGACGCCACTGTTCTTGCGGTGCCTGCGTCAACGTCTGTCTGTCATGTGGACGTTGCTGACGTTGCCGAATCCGTCTCCAAAGACGGTCCCAGAGGTGTTCTATGGGATTCATGTCAGGGGATCTGGCTGGACACGGAAGAACTTGTATGTTGTTGACAATGAAATACTCTCTGGTAACACGTGCAGAGTGTGGAGTGGCGTTATCCTGTTGGAACAGCGTTCTTGGGTTATTCTGCAAGAATGGAAGCACGACTGGTGTCAAGACCTGGTTAATGTAGCGGTCAGCGTTGAGGGTACCATTTGTAACCACCAGGTCGGTCTTCGTGCCACCACAAATACTGCCCCAAATCATCACACTTCCGCCGCCACGAGGATGCACTTCTTGGACGCAGCAACGTGACGTTCGTTCGCCTCTACGCCGGTAAACTCGCACTCGGCCGTCAGCACTGTAAAGCTGGAACCTGCTTTCATCCGAAAACAGCACTCTGTCCCAATGTTGTCTTTGCCAGCGTTGCACAATGCGAGCCCACCTCAATCTGTTGAGTCGATGTTGCCGGGTCAAGGTCATTCCCCTAAAGGGTTGGTAAGCTCAAACCAAAATGGCGGAGACGTCGGGCTACAGTCCTCTTGCTGACGGGGTGTTGTATAGCATCTCGTGCTGATGACGCCGTTTATAAAACCAGCGTTTCTTTTGCCCCTGAGTTTAGTTTAACCATAACACGGCTGCTTTCGCGTTGTGTTATTATGAACGTATGTGCCTTGTACAGATGTTTAACAGGAATTAATATATACTGAACCACAAAAGAAATATCGCACTGATAGGGGTTTCTTAAGCACACTTTAATTCACTTTAATTAACAATCAAATAGGAGGACTGAGTTCAAACTTGATAAGTATGGTTAACACATTTTCGGGAATCACATTTAGAGTTCACACAAACAAATCACCAAAAATGGTACCATTAAGATACCCCAAAGTCAGTATCGTGTGTGGCCTCTATGGGCATTGAGGAAATCGTTGCATCGTCTGTACATGCAATGAATTAGCCGGTCGATGAAAGCCATAGGCACATGGGTATATTCTGCGAAATGCCTGATCGAGTCCAGCCGTAGTTGTCGGCCTTGGTTGGAGGCTATTCAGTCTTCTTTGAATCTCGCCCCAAAGGTGTTCTACTGGACTTAAATTCGGACTGAGTGCAGGCTATTGTAGGGTTTGGATGCCATGTTGTCTTAGGAAGTCCAATGTTGCTCTGGCAGTGTGGGCGCCACCGCTGTCTCCAAAATGTGGTATTACGTGGGGTCTTATGATTTAATCAATATAGCGAGCAGCTTTCATGTCATTTCCTCATCCTTGACCAAGATTCTGGAACACTGTTCAGACCGATTGCACCCCACACTAAGATGCTTGGACCACCCCACTAGTCTCTTTCAACAATACACTCATTGGAAAACACTTCACCACGCCCTCGCCATACTCTCACTCTGCCATAGACGGTCGAAACACAATATCGGCTTTCATGAGATAACAGCACAGTTCTCCATTGTCGATAACCTCAATTTCGATGCTGAGTTGCCCATTTTGGTCGTTTTTTTGGCGTCGATGAGCGGTGAGGACAGGACTACGATATGATCTGTGACAGCAGGGGTTTCTTCCGTGCAAACGTCGACGCACTGTATCGGCACTGATGGGTCTGTTTTGAGTCAAAAATGGTCTGGCGTGCTGTTTCCGTCGCTCTGGGGAAGCGATCCTGCAGATGTTTGCGCACAGCCTGTCATTATTGACGTTGTGATGTTACTGAAGGTCGCCCACTGTTGACGGTCTTGAATGCTCTTAATGACCTGATACCACTCCTGCTGTCCTAACATGAACATTAAAATGATTGGCCACCCTCCGTGCAGTCTGGACAACTTGCAATCGTCCCACGACTTGGTTCCTTTGATCTCTCGTAAGACGTGGCACGTGACATGGTGGTTGTGTCAAAACAAAAATGATTTCAGGCGAGCTTGGGACCCGCTTTCATTGGTAGGGTTGTCATGACATGCACATGCATTTTCATTTTCACGAATGTCATACGGAACCTTTGACCATGTCTGCCTTTTTCGGTGCATTTAGTCGATATGCGTTTTCATCTGAAAAAAAACTGATGTTGGTAATAACTGTTAATTTGGATTGAAAAACACGTTAAGAAAATGGTACAAACATAATAAAAACACCACCTTGCAAGAACAAAATTTTGCATTTGGTTTTGCAAAGCGACGTTTCTTTTGTGGTTTAGTATATTTATATTTTACAGTCAGTGTGTAAAATCAGTCAATTTGTAAATTGCCTGAAAAATAAGTCTAAGAGTGGCAAGCAGTGTGCAACCAGCAAATGCAGGTGCTTTAAAGATGGAGTCAAATGCAACAGCAGGTGCCACGAAAGTCTCACATTTTTTATATTTTGAAATATTGTTGAAATATTGTTTTGTCAGTAAAGATGTCCCTTGAGTGTCTGTGTCTTTGATTTTTTTCTAAAAGTTCAGTTTTTATACACTGATAATGATAATACACATTGCAACTGACCTTCAGCCAATCTGTCAAATAAATCGACTAATTTTTCAGGCAATTTGTAAATTGTCTGAAGATTTTAGGCAATTTACAAATTGACTGAAAATTTTAGGCAATTTGCAAATTGCCTGATTTTACAAATTGACTGTATCATATATAAGGAAAAACGGCATTATGGCGTAAAACCTGTAAATGTTGCTTCATTTTAGAAATACTCCGGTGTTTGCTTTAAAACAGACTAACAAGGACACAGAATGCTTATACAATTGTGTTGAAGTCAAACATACAAGAAAGCCATAATTCACGTGAATGTCCAGGATAGACGTGGTCTCCAGCATCCCATAATCGATGCATGTTATCGTGTCCCCATAGCGTAGATCGATGCTCATGATGTCAAACACTGGATTGTCTGGTCCAGACTCGATTATTTACAGACCGCTGTCATATAGCTGGAATATTGCTTAGTGCCCCGTAAAACAACAAACAAACAAATATTACAGTTTTTGACAATGCTACATATGATATTTACATATGAAGTATTTGACCCCGACAAAAGCACGATTTGGGTTTCAATTATTTCGCACTGAACATTTGAGTGTTACTGAAAAGGTACATTTGTGTGTGAGTAACACGATTAGCTGATGAAATGTTCTCAAAACACCAAGTCGAGCTACACACTACCATGTACCCAGGTCATGTGTCTTCGCGAATTTCCTTCTGGTTTCACTTTTATCGGAACTGATACAATGGCATTGGGAAGGATGACTGGTGGGAGGGGATGTC